CCCACTGGGGATGTGCCCGCAACCAATGTATATGCCCTTGACCAGAATTGAACCTGGGACCTTCCAGTCCGCAGAGCCAAACCGATTTCTGCTGTAAGCAGCATTCTTTTCTTTTCTTTCTTTCTTTCTTTTTTTTTTTTTTTTAAATATATTTTAATTGATTTTTTACAAAGAGGAAGAGAGAGGAATAGAGAGAGAATCATCAGTCAGCTGCCTCTTGCACACCCCCTACTGGGGATGTGCCCGCAACCAACATACATGCCCCTGACCGGAATCGAACCTGGGACCCTTCAATCCGCAGACCGACGCTCTACCACTGAGCCAAACCGGTTTCGGCTGTAAGCAGCATTCTTAATGCACATTTTATAGATGGAGAAACTAAGGCACAAAGAGGGGAAACTGGCTTCTTTAAAGTCACACTGCTGGTGTTAACGTAAAAAACATTCAAACCTGTAAAGAATTTTTGTGAGTTTGAGCCAAACTGTCGGCAATTGCTGGGAAGCAGAACCTTAACAAATTGAGATAATGCTCCGGAGAATGGTGGGTTTTCCTCTATTTTTATCCATGGCAATCAAAGGAGGGACGAAGTTGAGTTACATGAAATCCACTGGTGATAGACTAGAGAGGCAAGAGAAAGCAAAGGGGGGGGGGGAACAGGGAGAGGGGTAACCCCTAGGATTGGATAAAAAGTGAAATGATGGACACATACTTAGATAGGTGCAGGAACAATTAACATGATAATGAAGAAATTTGTGGTATCTGTCCTGGCACCCACACATCTGGTTGTGCCCCAAGGGCTCCAGAAAATGGGAAGTTACAAGTTACCCAGACATTTCAAGGACATGTTATCATAGATGCAAAAAGACAGATAGGCTCAGTTAAGGTAAAGGTTGACCTTGTCAGTGAAGATACCAGCCTAGAAGGTGACTACCCAACATAACTGCTTTTAGTTAAAGTTTAATTTCAGACCATCCTTTGTGGTTACTTTTGATCTTTGAGTTTGCAAGCCCGACATACAGACCTCCTCTGAGCCTGTCAGGTCAGCAGGTGGCCCACACTGGTAAGAGGCAGCAGGGCTGGGAATCACATTCTGGCTCATGTGACTCTGGAGACAACCAAGCACCAAGACTGGAGCCGAGGGATCCCTTTCTTCTGGAAATATTTACAGCGTTCCTGCTGCAGGTCAGGCTTGCTCTAGGTGTTGGGGCAAAGCTGCAGAACAATTAACATGATAATGAAGGAATCTGAAGGATAATGAAGAGGTGGACAGAACTCAAATTGTGCTATGACAGATCTAGGTGGCCATGGTGACTCATGCTGTGTGATTGGGCGTGTGGCTTTGGGGAAGAATGACAGACTACCCCTGATCTGATCGGACAGGAGCCCTCCAGGGAGCAGAGAGCATTTAGCCTTAGTTCAGATGTAACTAGGCAGAGGTCTTAAGTTCACTCGGCAAAGTGTTTCTCAAGAGCCAAACAAGCCATTTTTAGTTCCTTTTCGGTTCTTCCTGTGACAAGTTGCACATTCCCTCACGTCCTTCTTCAACGTGAAGGGAAAGCTGTTGCTTCTGGCCAGCCACTCTGCCCTGCAAGGAGAAGAGGCCTGAGTCCGTGTCTATATCCAGGGAACAGTGAGGAGCCACTGTTGTCACCTGGATCCTACTGGCCTCCTCCTCCACCTCAGCCCTGTGAGCATCAGCCCATTCTCCAGGTGAGAAAACTGAAGACCAAACAGACAGAGCCACTCCCTCAGTGTGGACTTGACTAAGACAATATCAGGTTAGGGCTGCTCAAGGCCAGCACGATCCCCACTTTCTCTCTTGCTGTTGCCTTCTGCCCATAGGAGGAGGGAATCTGGCCAGGGACCCTTCCCACCGAAGGGCCGAATGGCCCTGGCTACAGAGCTGTAGCCTCCGGCATTCAACACGCCCTGAATGGCTTCCAGAAGCCTTGGCCCTGCCGGCACCTATCCAGTTACTATTTTTTTTAAAAATTATATTTTTGGTAATAAGGAAAAGTCACTCTGCACAGAACAGACGGTATTCTCTTTGTTCATGCATTTCGTGGCTTCGGGCCTGAGAGCAAAGCCAAATCCTTTGCCGGTGCAGATGCCTGGTGAAGCTAGAAACCGAGTCTGTGCTTCCATTTCCCCGGCGAGGCTGAGGGACCAGGATGTGCCCGCCCTCCAGGAGCGCCCCGATCCGGCCACAGCTGAACACATGAACAGGTGACACATCAGGGATGTCACAGAAAGGGTTGGGGGCATGGGGACAGGACAGGGTGAGATCCTTTCCAAGCCCAGGTTGGTCTGACAAGCTTCTAGAAGGAGAGCGACCACGGAGCCAAGCCTGGAAGGACGAGGCAGAGTCTGTCCTGAAGGAAGGGAATGCCTGGTGGAGGCAAAGTCCTGGAGGGAGTCAACTCAGACCTTGGCCTGGGGACATGTCTCCAGAATTCACCTAAAGGTAATTGGAAGCTACTAGCTCAGATGTGTGATTCTTGTCAGGGAAACAGACGAGAAAGAAGAGGGAGGTGTGACAGACAAGACGAAAAGCAAAGCCTCGGCGTTGTCCGAAAGCTCAGAGCTTCAGGGACGCGATGGCATTCTGTGACTTGGGGCAGGCCGGGCGGGGAGGCGGCCACAGCTGTTGCTGGCGAAGGCCCTGCTCCCGACATGGGCATGAAGGGGTGCACTGCCTCTGGCCAGAGGAGCAATCGGGTCGTGCGGACCTCCAGGGGACTCGCCCCTTTGGTGGGAACTGGACACCGACATTCACTCCCTCCATCCTGGATTCTGGGACCCTAACACCCATCCTCTAGCCGTCGTCGGCCTCGGCACAGTTGTCTTGTTACAGAGCCCGGTCTGCCCGTCTCCGGAGTCTCTGCCTCTCTCCCCGCCTCTCTGTCTCTGGGTCTGGGTCAATGTCCCTCCCTGCTCACCCCAGTCCCCTAACCCCACACCCTTACTCCCGCGCTCCCAGCCCTTTCTCCGTGCACCGGGCTCTCCAAGCCCCTTCCCCCGCCCGCCCCGCCGCGGAGGCCGGCAGGGGGAGCTGCGGGCCCTCGGGACGCGGAGGGCGGGGAGGGAGCGGGAGGCGGGGCGGCGCTGCGTCGGGACCCGCTGCGATGGGACCGGAGGCGGCGCGGGCGGCGGCGGCGGCGCAGACAAAGGCGCGGGCGGCGCGGAGGGCGCGGGGAGCCGGCGCCGCGGGCCGCACCCCACTCCGCCGGGACGCTCGCGGGGAGCCAGCCGGCAGGGTGAGCCTGGCCAGCCGGGGCTGCGTGCTGGCGCGGGGGCCCCAGAAGTTGCAGGGCCGAGGAAGGGAGGGCGCGGGGGACCCCGAAGTTCTGGACACGGAGGCGGGGGGCGGTCCGGGGAGCCCCGAAGCACCGGTCTTGCGGGCTCCGGGGCCCCAAGTTCCGGAGCTCGAGTCGGGAAGCGGGGACAGGGAGCGAGCGTCCCAAAGTTCCTCGCCGGGAGGCTGCGGAGGCGCCTCCGAAGTTCCAGACCTGGGGAGGGCGCGAGGGGACCCCGGCTTTCTGGACCTGGGCGTGGAGGGGGAGGGGGTCCCGAAAGTCCCGGAATCGGGGCGGCGCGGAGGGTCCCCGAAGTGACGGGCCTGGGGTTGGAGGAGGCAGATCCTAGGCTCCCGAAGTTCTGGACCCGGAATCGGGGACGTCACGAGGATCCCGAAGTCCCGAGGTTGGGGACCGCGTGTCCCCAAGTTGTGGCAGCGCCGGGCGCCCCGCTCCTGAGCGTGTGGGGGACCCCGTCCTGCCGGGGCCCATGGGTGGGCTGCGCCCGCTCCAGCGGTGGAGGATCGGGGCGCCGGGCGGGGTCGGGCCCCTCCGGGAGGGAGCCTTAGGGCCGGCGGCGCAGGGGCATGACTCGCTGGTGAGTAACTTTCCCCGAACGTGCGAGTCACAGCGGGAGCGCCCGCCGGAAGGGCCGGAGTTCCCGGGACCCCGGAGCCCCAGCCGGACCCAGGCCTGCCCCCAACCTCGGCCGGAGCTGCCGCCCCTCCCCCGCCAGGGGTCGGGTTTCAGACCCCGTGACCAGGACAGCAGCTGCCCGGGACTCGGGTGGGGGTGCAGTCCCCCTCGGACCACGGAGACCACTAAGCCCGGGTGTCCCTTCCCCCAACTCGCCTCCCCTCCCCCAGGTCCCTCCTGAGTCCCCTGCAGATACCCTGGATGCAAGTTGGAGGGGTAGGGGAGGGGTCAACCCCCCCCCCATGTCCCTGTCCCCCGCAGCTATTCCTGGCTCCTGTGGGGTGGTGGCTAGAGAGGCGTGTGGGGAGCCCATATCCCAACCTTGGTTCCACTCAGCCCCCTGAGTGGCAATGGCGATCGGGTACTGGGGACCAGGGTGGTCCTGTTTGGCTGCATCTTGTCTTTTTGACGAGGATGGGGGCTCCCTCATGGGACTCTGACACGAAGTCTGTGCCTGTGTCCTAGGGTGGAAATGAAGGGGCCCCTCGGGGAGGCCAGTGGGGATCGGTCTCCCAGTAGGCACCTGGGGACGCCACAGTGTTTGCTGCAGGCTCAGAGGCTTGAGGAGCAATAGGTGAATGTGTGGGAAAGTACCGAAGGGGAGCTGGCCTTGGCCTCCTCCACCCACCCTGAGACTGAGGGGGCTTCGCCAAGGACTTAATAACCCGGAGGAGGCTAGGTTTCTGCTGAGATGTCTGGGGCCCCCTCTTGCCCAGGGTGTCGTAGGAGCCTCTCCAGGGGGAGAGAGTCAGGGTCTCCTTGATCTGAGCAATCGACTGATTCTCTTACCTTTTTTGGTTGAAATTCCACGACTGGTGTACCGGGTGGTGGTGAGTCCTGAGGTTGGACCTGCTGGGCTTCCTCCTTCAGCCTGTCCGGGACACACACACACACACACACACACACACACTCACACACTCACAAGTCCTTTCTACCCCAGACGCCGAACCAGCCGCTCCTGCCACCTCTCTGGCTGCCCCTTGGAGCCCACCTAGCCCAGCCTGACCAATGTCCACAGCCAGGTGAGCCCTGCCCCCACCGTGGCCCTGCGCCCTCGGGGGAGTGCGAGTCCCCGCTGAGCACCCTCTCCCCGTGCAGGGAGCAGCCCATCTTCAGCACGAGGGCACATGTGTTCCAGATCGACCCAGCCACCAAGCGCAACTGGATCCCTGCGGGCAAGCACGCACTCACCGTCTCCTACTTCTATGATGCCACCCGCAACGTCTACCGAATCATCAGCATTGGGGGTGCCAAGGTCCTGGCAGGGCCTGGTTGGGGTGGTGGGCCTGGGTCTGGTTGTAGCCTTGCTGTGTGCCCAGGGATAGGTCATGAGGAGCCCTGGCCCTTCCTGGGCATCAGTCTCTTCCTCACGAAATGGCTCAGACAAGGATCTTGGAGGCACCGATAGAAAGTGATACCCTAGTTGCTCTCATATTCATTATTAACAGTTCCATTGACCTTGAACTTTCCTTTCCTCAGGCCATTATCAACAGTACTGTCACCCCCAACATGACCTTTACCAAAACCTCCCAGAAGTTCGGACAGTGGGCAGACAGCCGTGCCAACACTGTCTACGGCCTTGGCTTCGCTTCTGAACAGCATCTAACCCAGGTGGGCCTCAGGGGTGCATGGTGGGAGGGACAGGGCGGGGTCTGTGTCATCTCTTGGGTGCCCTGGGGCCCCTGGTCAGGTGCCGAGCCTCCCCTTTCCGGCTGCAGAAGTGGACAAGCCAGAAGCCCTTCCCTGTTCCCTGACTCACATCCCAGCTCTGCAGGACACCTCCATTTCAACACCCCGGCCCCTCTCTGGGTTCCACGAATGGGCTGGGCGCTTCCCCATATACACTAGCACTATGTCATCCCTTCCCTCCGCCCGCTGCTGACTTTATCCATTGTTTCCCTGGATGCTTGGTTGTGCTCTCTGAGTCCCGCTGATTTTCTTCTATTAGCTTTTGTTTTCCTTTCATATTTAGGGCTTGAATTTACTTCTGTGGGTAGTGTATGGTAGTATTTATTCCCACAGTAGTACCCAGTTGATCTTGGGCCATTAAAATATATATATATATATATTTAGAGAGAGGAAGAGAGAGGGAGAAATAGAAACACTCATGATGAGAGAGAATCATTGATTGGCTGCCTCCTGCACACCCCCTACTGGGGATTGAGTCCACAACCCGTGCATGTGCCCTGACCTGGAATTCATAGATCGATGCTCAACCACTGACCCACACTGGCCCGGCGATCTTGGGCCATTTTTGAAAAGACCATTTGCCCCCAGTGAATTGCACCAACCCCTTTGCACAAATCAAGTGGCTGTATATCCGTAAATATTTCCTTTATTTAAAAAAAAATTTTTTTTATTGCTTTCAGAGAGGAAAGGAGAGGGACAAAGATAGGAACATCAGTGATGACAGAATCGTTGATGGGCTGCTTCCCCACACTTGACCGGCATCAAACCTGCGACCCTTCAATCCTCAGGTTGACACTCTATCCACTGAGCCAAACCAGCTAGTACTAAATATTTCCTTTAAAAAGTATTTTCAAACTGCCCTAGCTGGTTTGACTTAGTGGACAGAGAGTCAGCCTGTGGACTGAAGGATCCCAGGTTCGATTCTGGTCAAGGGCATATGCCTGAGTTGCAGGCTCGGTCCCCAGCATGGGGCATGCAGGAGGCAGCCAATCAATGATTCTCTCTTATCATTGATGTTTCTATCTCTCTCTTCCTCTCTGAAATCAATAAAAATATATTTCTTAAAAAGTTATTTTCAAACTAAGGAGATTTATTTTAAAGTAAAAAAAAAAAGGGGGGGGGGTATTGTACCCTAACTGGAACGCTGATATGGGCAACAAATGTAAAAACATTAATACACCCTGGCCAGTATGGCTCAGTGGTTGAGCATCGACCTATGAACCAGGAATAAGCTGAAATAAGCTTAATGGAGAGGGAGAGGCGATTCCTTTCTCAGGGTGGCTCCAAGTCACAGGTCGATTCCTGTCAGAGTTCAGGCTTGATCCCCAGTAGGGGGTGAGTAGGAGGCAGCCGATCAGAAATTCTCATTATTGATCTTTCTTTCTTTCTTTCTTTCTTTCAATATATTTTATTGATTTTTTACAGAGAGGAAGAGAGAGGGATAGAGAGTTAGAAACATTGATGAGAGAATCATCGATCAGCTGCCTCCTGCACACCCCTGCAGTACATGCCCTTGACTGGAATCAAACCCAGGACCTTTCAGTCCGCAGGCCGATGCTCTATCCACTGAGCCAAACTGGTTTTGGCTCATTATTGATGTTTCTATTTCTCTCTCTCCCTCTCTGAAATCAATAAAAATATTCCTTAAAAACAAACAAAAATTAGTACAACAGAAATGAGAACAGGACAGTCACTCTCTCACTGGCTAGGCTGTGTCATAGCAGGATATTTGCATGTGTTCCACACATTAAAGCCAGATTAGCGCCCGCCTGAGGCTCTCCTTGCTGAAATAAGCTTGATGGAGAGGGAGAGGCGATTCCTTTCTCAGGGTGGCTCCATGTAAGCCTCCCCCATGACCATCCCACCCCCTGCTCTAAGCTCACTCTGCCCTCTGGGGCGTCATTTTCCAAGCCCCCTTCCCCTTTCCCAGTTCATGAGCGGAGGGGATGCACAGAGTTCCCTTTGTGAGTGACAGGGGTGGTTCTGGCTGGACCGTAACGGGCTGGGGCCCCAGGGGAGGGGCCAGGGGGTTGTTGACTGACTGTTTCTGTCCCCCCTCTTCAGTTTGCTGAGAAGTTCCAGGAAGTGAAGGAAGCAGCGAGGCTGGCGAGGGAGAAATCTCAGGATGGCGGGGAGCTCACCAGCCCTGCCCTGGGGCTCTCCACTCACCAGGTCAGCACTCCCTGTCCCGTGCCTGCCCAGCAATACGGGGAGGAGAGGGGGGTCTGTGCCTGTGTGGTGATGTGCTCATGCCCAGGACCACATGCTCACACATTATGGCAGGGACCACGGAGGAGGGGAGTGTGGGTGCCGTGGAGCATGGCAGGAGGCATGTGGCCTAGCTTTGGGTCGGGGAAGACCAGAAAGCCAGCTCACATGGCCATGGGGGTGGAGTAAAGAACTGGTCCAGGCCAGTTTCCCCCTAGACTTTACTCAGTGCGATTTATTAGCCATCTACTGTGTGCCTGGCCCAAGACTGGGCTGGGGTTACCGAGATGAAAAGGCAGGCTGGCCCCTGCCCTCAGGGCTCCCAAGGTGAATTCATAAGAAATTCAGCATGGTCGAGAGGGCTTCCTGCAATGGATGTTGAAATTTGGCCCCAGAGGGGTACTGTTCCTAAGGTTTCAGATTGCTCCCCTTCCCTCTCCCCGCCCTGGGCACATTCCGAGTATCTCTGGGTTTAGACTGACCTGCTGTCAGGTTTGCTGCTGGGAAGTTGGTGAGAGCTCAGGCAGGCAAGGTTGGGGGCCAGAGTCCAGGACTCTGGTCTGGGGGGGCCACGGGGAACCCTGGAGGATGGGTGAGAGGGGACGGATGCCTGCTCTCAGCCATGACCTCAGTAACATCAGTCTTGACCTTAACCATGATCTTCTAACCGGTCCTTGGCTGACACCCCCCGTGACCCCGCTTCTGTCCACACCCTTAGGTGCCCCCGAGCCCCCTCATCAGCACCAATGGTCCCCCCAGCGATGAGAAACTGTTCCGCAGCCAGAGCGCGGAGGCCCCTGGCCCCGCGGAGCGAGAGCGGCTCAAGAAGATGCTGTCCGAGGGGTGAGGGGTCGGGCGGGGTACGGGGTCGCGGCAGGATGTGGGGCTCAGAAGCCGCCCAAGCGCGACGGGCGGCGGGTCTGACTCTGGACCTAAATCCTGGGGACCCAGAGGCGGCTAACCCCAACCATCCTGCCCCTTCCGGAGTTCGGGAGCCGACCCCACCCTTGCACGCGCTCCGGCTCTGGCCCCGCCTTCCGAGGGATCCTCTGCCCCCGCCCCGCTCACACCTCCTCCGGGGAGTTCTGCCCGCGTGGCCTCCCAGCCCCACCCCGTTCTGGCTCGGTCCCCGTGGGGGCCCACGCCGGGCTCCGCCGCATCCCCATTGTCTCACTGAACAAACCCCCGGCCGCCTGTACTGACCCCGCCTGCGGCAGGGATCGCACCGCCCAGTCCCATTCACTCCTCCGGCGCAACCCGCCCGCCCCGGGCTTTGGCGCCTTGGCCACGCCCCTACGCCCGCCCCTCCTCGGCCCATTGTCCAATTACCAGCCCTGTCCAATATGGCCCCGCCCCCTAGACCGTCCTGGCCCCGCCTCCGCCGGCTGCTGCCCCGCCGCGCCCCGCCCCTGCCAGCTGCTGCCCCGCCCCTAGCCTAGAGCGGCGGCTCGACCCGAAGCCGACCCCTGTGTCCCCGCAGCTCCGTGGGCGAGGTGCAATGGGAGGCCGAGTTCTTCGCGCTGCAGGACAGCAACAACAAGTTGGCGAGCGCCTTGAGGGAGGCCAACGCGGCCGCCGCCCAGTGGAGGCAGCAGCTGGAGGCACAGCGCGCGGAGGCTGAGCGGCTGCGGCATCGGGTGAGGGGACCCTTCCCCCTCAGAGACCCTGAGCCCCGGGCAGCTGTGGAGCCTCTGCCCGAACATGTCCCGTCTGTCCTGGGCTCACCAACTGGCTGTGTGATCTCTATAGGTTACTTTCCTGAGCCTTAGTTTCATGCTCTGTAAAGTGGGTCTGATGTAGAGCCACCTCTCAAAGGGGTGTCGGATCTTAAAAGTTCCCTGCCAGGGGTGGGGTGGTAACCTCAAGCAGAGGGTACAGACTGAGCAGAAGGCAGATTCCCCAGAGAGTTGCTGACCATTCTGTCCACCCAGGTGGCTGAACTGGAGGCCCAGGCAGCCACAGAGCCGACCCCAGTCAGTGAGAAAGAGGGGCCAGGCCAGACGCTGGAACAGCTGGAGTCCTTAGTGCAAACCAAGGACCAGGTGAGCACTGAGCGTGTGAGTACCTGTGTCCCCAGGCCTCACCTTCCCTGACCTCCCACGGGAGAGCCAGGACCCCAGAACACCCTGGGAACTCTTCTCCATAGGAGATCCAGACGCTCAAGAGCCAGGCTGGTGGGCCCCGCGAGGCCCCTGACGCCATGGATCAGGAGGAGACGCAACAGAAGGTGCAGGTGTGTGGGTGCCAGGAGATGGGGTACATGGGCAGCCAGCTTCTGGTGTGAGACAGACTTGGTATCTTCCCTTCCTGGCTGGCCCCTTTTAGCCTGTTTCTCCATCTGTACACGGGGTCAGGAAGACATCTACCCTAAGGTGAAGGATCGGGAAGAGCAGATTGCATGGAAGGTCTGAGGTTGTTTGTAAACGGTTGTTATCCATACAATTGGTCTTTAGATCCATTTACTCAACAAGCAATTTTTGAATCCCTTCTGAGCTTTCTTGACCCCATCAAGCCCTCACACCTCCCCAGCCTGCATTTGAACACAGTTCTGGCTGGCCTGGCTGTTAAAAACTTTATCCAAGAAACATTTGTGGGGCCCTGAGATGGGGCGGGCATCAGTGTGTCTAAGGAACCACAAAGCCAGCGAGGCCGAGTTAGAAAGGGAAAGAAGGGGACGTGGATTTCATCCCCAGCCTGATGGGTCACGGGAGGACTCTCAGAAGAGGGACTCGATCAGTTCTGTGTTTGAATTGGCTGGGGGTCAGGGAGGACATTGAGACGGAGGGGGACTCGGCCCACGGTGGCAACTGTGGAGATGGCACTCAGAAACAGATGCCCCAGTCAGGGCTGGTAACCCTGCCCACCCTCTCCCTGCAGGACCTGGAAACCCGCAACGTGGAGTTGGAGCACCAGCTGCGGGTGACGGAGCGCAGCCTGGAGGAGGCGCGGGCTGAGCGGGAGCGGGCGAGGGCCGAGGTGGGCCGGGCTGCGCAGCTGCTGGACGTCAGGCTGTTCGAGCTGAGTGAGCTGCGGGAGGGCCTGGCCCGCCTGGCCGAGGGTGCGCCCTGAGCCGGGCCTGGCCGCCGGTCCTTGTAGGAGCTGGAGCCTGTGGGAGCAGGTTCTACACGGATGCTTCCCGTTTGGGGCCCGGGCTGGCCGCAGGCGGCCCAGCAGGCCACTTGCCCTGGCAGGGACCAGGGCTGACAGCCAACCAAGGGCCTGGCTGCTTACAGCTCAGGGGCTGTTGGGGGCTTTTCATTGTGTAAGATTTCTAGACTCTCCACCAGGGCACATGCTGGTGCCGATTACATTTCTAAGCATGACTGTGTGTGTGGTGTGTGGACACTAAATGCCGTCATTGGACCTTCTCCTGTCTCCTCTCCAATACGTCTTAGCTGTCCTCTGTTCATGTAGGGCTGGAAAGTCACTTGAGGTGAGCAGGAGGGGGTTCAGAGCCCAATGGGGGAGCAGTGCCTAGGCCACACAGCTGCCCCGTCCTGCTGCCCCTATCCCCTGGGGCTCAGCTCACATTGTCTAGACCAGTTTGGACTCAGGTGGCCCTGGTTAAGCTTCCCTTCACTCTGGCTGCAAACCCTAGGTTCCATGAGGTGGGCAGGCACTAAAGCTGGACCACAGCCATGCTCTGGAGAAGAGGATGCTCTCATAGCCTCATGCTTTGTCCGTTTTCTCTTTCTTTTTTTTAAAATATATTTTATTGATTCTTTACAGAGAGGAAGGGAGAGGGAAAGGAAAGTTAGAAACATCGATGAGAGTAACTGATCAGCTGCCTCCTGCACACCCGCTACTGGGGATGTGCCCGCAACCCAGGTACATGCCCTTGACCGGAATCGAACCTGGGACCTTTCAGTCTGCAGGCCAACACTCTTATCCATTGAGCCAAACCCGTTTCGGCATGAGGAAACTGAGACCCTGAGGGACTTCATCAAGCCAAGGTCACCCACCTGGAGCAGCCAGCACTGCAGTTCAAAGTTTTGGCTGGCCAACAGGAATGAAGAATTAGGGGGAGAGGGGGTATCAGTGACATGAGGTTCCATACTTAAAAGGCACAGGGAGCCATACCCTCCTCTCCTACTCCTGCTCCCCGAGTCAGACGGTAAGGCAAAAGACCCGTTTATTATCTCCCACAATGACACACCTTCACTTTTGGGTCCACAGCACCCCCTCCAGTGGCCCTGGCTGGAGTCACTGTTTATGGAGATGGGCCAACCACATGGCCAGTGATCTTCCTTTTACAGCCTGACTTGGCCAAGGCTTCGAGAAGGGGCCAGCTGGGGCCACAGGGTAGAGCAGCCACGTCCTGCACAATGTGGGTGTCCATGGGCTCCACTGAGGGGGGCTGGGCAGCCTGGGAGGGGGAATCTGCCCTCCAATGCTCCACCCCTCAGTTTGATGAAGGAGTCTTCGGCCGAGCCCTGGGTACACGGCCCCTGTGGCCAGTCGCCCCGGCCTTCTGCCGCTGCAACGCCTGCTCCACCTGCTCCTTGAAGCGCCGGTTCTTCTGCTTGATCTTGGCCAGCTCAGCCTTGCGCTTGGCCTCCAGGTCAGGGTCCTGGCTCGGGGAGGACAGGGAGGTGGCTGAGCTGGTTATGCCCGACCTCAGGAACCTTGCCTCCCACCTGCTGGCTCAGCCCTCACCTTTCCCTCCAGGATCAGCTGCTTCCGCTTGTTAATTTCCTTCTTTTCATCAAAGTTGGCTGCCTCAAGTTTCTGGGGTTGGAGGGGAGAGGGAGAGGCTGTCATGGGGGGTAGTTCCCATCTTGAAGGGAGCACCCTGGGTCCCAAGGATCAGCTCTTGGACACTCACAATCTCGCATTCTCGCCGCACCACGTTGACCTGTGTGAGAATCTGCAGCACCTCAGCCTCCTCCACCGCAAACTCCTCCAGCTTCTTCTCTGTGGGGACATGGGACACACACACACACACACACACACATACACACACACACACACGACATGACAGGGAGAGGGATTTCAGCCAATAGTGAGTTCCCAGTGTGAGTGGGGGGTGGGGCATGCGAGGTGTCTGGGGGTCTTAACAGATACAAGTCAGGTGGGCAAGATCTGGGACTTCAGACCTAAGTAAGATATAGACTGCTCTTTTGTGCGTCTGTGTGGTCACCAATGCTAAGAACTGGATTGGAGGAAAAGTACTTTTTTTGGACAGTATTCTTTAAAGTCATGTTGTTTTTCAATTTGAGGACAGTCACTGGTGATTAGACATGCCTCAAAGTCCCTGCCCACCAGGTGGCCATTATGGGGAGCTCTTTCAATAATTGGGTGAAAGAAACTCCTTTGGGGGTTGTATAGGAAGGAAAGTGAAGTCTAAGTTTGCTTGAGTAAGAAGGTAGGTGGGTATCCCACTCCTGCCCCTTACTCACTGATTTGCTCCTCGATGGCATGAACCAGGTGAATGTCATACTGTGTCACCAGTGTAATGGCCTGTCCCTGCCGCCCTGTAAGGACATACCACAGTCACCTGCTATGTGCCAGGGACCAGGATGAGGGGTCAAGAGACAGGTCAGAGCTCCTCTTGAGAGGAACAGAACTTGGTGGGTAGGTGGGGGCAGGTGAAGGAAGCCTGGGGTCTCAGGGCTTGACCCCCAGCAAGACCTGTGTAGAGGTGATCTGTCCCAAGAGAGCTGCAGGACACCAGGGGGAGGTGGCTCTCTTGCCGGCTTGGCCCTCACTGGAGGCAGGTGATGGGGCTGATTCCCTTTTTGGCATGGCCGCCAGGGAGCCCAGGCTGTTATGTCAGCAATAAGCCGGGACAGGCCTCTGCCCGGATTCCTGCATGCCAGCTTCTCCGTTCTGTTTCTGGGACAGTGACTAGTGCTGGACCAGCACTGACAACTGACAAGGCCCATGATCCTTGGAGCAGCCTCAGACAGACATCCTGTTCTCGTTACCCATCACTGGGCAAAGCAGTAAGTCCCGAAAGTTGATGTGACCTGCCTGAGCCACAGGGCAGGAGAGAAGGGGCTCCACCAGGCATGAGAAAATCTCACACAGGCAGTGCCTCTCCCTGTTAGGGCTGGGGATCAGAGAGATGGATGCCTCCTTGGTCACTGGCTAGGGTCACAGTGAGGGTTTAAACTTGGGCACCAAATCCCACAGGCAGCATCACATCCTCCAGGGCCCACGCACCCACTCACTGCAAGGTCCCAACTGGCAGCCCTGAGAGCTTAAGAGGACTGAAGTGAGCCACCAGGGACTGATGAGGACTGGGGCAATATATGCTGTGTCCCCAGAAGACAGATGTACCCCCATGAAAAAGCCAAAGTACCCCACCTTTACTTTTAAAAGGACAGTTCCCCAATAGCTTTCATTTGGGGCTGTATCCCCGCGCCCCCCTCCCCTCCCATGCCCCACTAGCACATGACTCTGGCTCCTCACGGTGGGCAATCTGGAGGGATGGCTCCCCAGAGGCCATCCCACCCTGTCCACTCACCTGCACGGGCTGTCCGGCCGACTCGGTGGATATAGATCTTTGGGAGCCCGGGGGTATTGTGGTTGATGACCACCTGCACTGTGGGAATGTCCAGGCCCCTAGAGGCAGAGGCGGATGAGCACCACTGTCCACATGGTAAAACCCAGGCTGGGACTGACCCAGGCTCACTTAGCAGTGAAACGGGTTGCCCAATCCTTGCCCGAGCCCAGCCTCCCCCTCTGGCCCTCTGTGGGGGTGTCACTGGGCCAGCACACAGGAGGGAGTATTCTGGGCTGCTCACCGGGAGGCCACATCTGTTGCGATCAGGATCCGATAGATGCTGGACTTAAACTTGGCCAAGGCAGCAAAGCGTTCTTTCTGAGCCGGATCAGGGGAGAATGGGGATGGGGGTCAGACCATCTTAGTCAATGAGCACTTATTGTAGGAGGCCTAGGCCAGGGCTGAGGCCAGGATGGTCCTGCCCTCACCGGGCTCACAGTCCAGGGAGGGAGAGGACTGTAAAAAAGCCAGACAGGGCACAGGGGGTGGCAGGAAGAGTGCTCCAGGCAGAGGGAAGAGCCTGGCAAAGGCCCGGAGGCTGGGAGAGTCTCGGGAAAGGAGGGCAGAAGGGGCCGCCTCACCTGTTTCATCATAGAATGCAGAGCCACCGTGGGGAAGTTGAACTTGCGTAGCATCATGCACAGGACCTGGCAGGTCCTGGTGGGAAGAATGCACTTTCAGCCCCTACAAAGCTGGGGTCCTGGGAAAGCGCTCTGCCCCCGCCCCTCCCCCGCCTCGGACCCCAGGCAGGTGCCCCTGCACAGAGAGGTAAGGACAAGCAAGGTGCAGGGTGTCTTGCCCACTGACATCCTCTCTGCTGACTCCCCTCCTAGCCTAAGCCAGCCACACCCAGACTTTTCGGTAGCCAGTAAGTCCTTTGGGGTCCCGTCAATGTGGAATGGACTGCCCACCTACTGGCTCGTGTCAGAACAGCCTACAGCGTCTTGACAATCCCTTCACATGCTTCAGAAGAGTCCAAAGTTCCCTGGGACTGCGGGGAGCACAGCCCCGGATGTGGGTGCTGCTGCGCTGGGCCTTAGGGACCTCAGACCTAGTGAACAGGCTGCTCCGAGGATGGGGACAGCCTGGCCTTTCAGGTTAAGGGCAGATCTGAGGACCCCTTTGCCCCCCCATTCTTGGCTCCACCTTCAGAAGAGGTGACCCTGGGGAGTGGCTTGTTCTCTCTGAGCCTCTTTGAGCAAATCTCCCAAAACCTCCGGACTGAGCAGAGGCCCCGGAGTGCGGAGACTGGCTGTGGCTCCCACCTGTGACCTTGGGCCATTGTGGGGCCTCCATGGAAGTCTGAGGGAAGCGGGCCCACCGAGCTCACTTGCATGTGTTGGTGAAGATGATGATGGACCAGTCTTCATGCTCATCCTGGAACTTCTGGATCAGGTGGACCAAGTAGGCATCCTTGACCTTCTCAGGCACCAGCAGGTAGCGCTGGTCCAGCTGTTCTACCGTGCGCACCCTGGGAAGGGGTAGGCCTCAGTTTCCCCTTCCTTTGAATTCGGCCATTGCCCTGCCCACCTATGGGCAATAATCCCCACTGGGTGTACTGGGTGTAACTCCACCACCACCTCTGTCTGCCACCCTTCACCCCCCAAACCCCAGAACGTGGCTGTGGACTCACGGGGCTTGAGCCTCCCAGAAGAAGGGCTGGTTGGTGGCCAGGCCCTGCAGCTCCTTAAGTGTGTCGGTCAGGGTGGCACTGAAGAGCAGGGTCTGCCTGCGGGCTGGCACAGCTGCCAGGATGGCTTCCAGGTCCACAGTGAAGTCAGTGCAGCCCTGCTCCAGCAGCCGGTCCGCCTCGTCCATCACCTGCAACGCCAGGAGCAGTGGCCAGTGGTGGTGGGTCTGGGATGAGCGTGCTGTCCAAGGCTGGCCAGCCTCCACCATGTTCCTCCTTCCCCGCTCTGACCGTGAGCCTGGGAGCACTCTCCCTTGAGGTCTTGGAGGCCCTGCTCCCTCACCTGTCTCAGCTCCAATGTCACTTCCTTGCCACCTTCACTGGGTCTACCTCCTGTGGGTCTCTGAGCTATCCTGTAAGTTCCTAACATTCTGCTGGATGGCCTGTGGGACACGTTTTCCAAATGAATGAGTCAGTGCCCAGGCCAACTCACCAGGAAGCGGATTTTCTTGATGCTGAACGTGTTGGAGCTGCGGAGGTGGTCAGCCAGGCGCCCTGGCGTGGCGATGACCACGTGTGGTTTCCGGGAGAGCTCCAGGGCCTGGGCCACCATGTCTGCAGGTGGAGGGCAAGAGGTGGGGCTGGGCAGGTGGCCCAAGACTGCAGGGGTCCCACACCCAAAGCCGCCCTGGGGCCCCCGTACCCATGCCGCCAACGATGATGCAGTCTTTCAGGCCCAGAGGCTTCCCCAGGACCCGGAACTGCTCTGCGATCTGGTAGGCCAGCTCCCTGTGGGTGTGAAGGAGCCGGGCTGGGTTACACAGTGGTTCTGTACCTGCCTCCCATTCCCATCTTCACCCCAGAATTTCCTGACTTTCTCTCTGTTCACATGCCCCCCATGGCTTCCAGTCTCCTTTGGACAAAACTCTGACAATTAGCGTTGGAGACCTGTGTGGACCCTTCCCCCTTACCTGGGCCCCAGAACAGCCCAGGGCCCCCTTCTGTACTAGCCTCTCCCCCTCCCATGTCCTCAGCAATGGCCTTGACACCAGTCACCAAAGCCTGAAACCCTCCTCCCCTGGGGGTAGCCAGTGTCCAAGTGCCCTCCTCTCTGCCCTTGGCCCTGGCTCCACCAGGCCTTTCCTCAGCCCACGTCTGGCCTCTTGCCCTCTCCCTAAGAATCAATTCTATCCTGGCATTCAGGGCCCTTCTCAAGCTGGCTGTAATAGGCCCAGCCCCCAATGCCCTTCCTATTCCCTGCCCTCAGCTCTGCATGAATGTACTAGCAGTTCCCTCTGCCTAGGTAACTTCTCCCCAAACCTGTCCCTTTGAGAGACCCCTCTCATCTTTTCAGGCTCCCCTGACTGAAGCCTTCCTGACACCTCCCACCCCCAGGCCACACTCTCATAGCATGCAGTGCCTACCTCTCCTGTCTCTACAAAACTTATCATGTCAATCACCACATCTTTATGACCAAGAACAGGAGATGTACCTATTCTTAAGCTACTGACAGTTCCCTCCTGGCCAGTGCTTGCCTGAGTCAAGCTCTATGCCAAGCTTTATTCATACCCTGTCTTGTTTAATTCTGCAGCACTCTTAAGAGGGGGACATGATTTCTGTCCCCACTTTGCACACAGGGTGAGTATGGCAAAGAGAAGGAAAGTCGCTCGTCCGAGAGAACGCTACTGGTTAACTCACCCAGGAGGCCTATGGGGGGCTCACCTGGTGGGTGTCAGGACAAGGCAGAAGATGCCATAGGGATCCTCCGAGAGCTTCTGCAAGATGGGCAAGACAAACGCTGCCGTCTTGCCGCTGCCTGTCTTAGCACAGCCCAGGCAGTCCCGACCTGGGCAGAGGGCAAAGCAACATTAGGTGTAGACAGGTGTTCCATTGAACAGTTACTGGTACTGGCCCATGCCCTTTCCATTCCGGGCATACTGACAAATTCTAGGGAGGAGAGACCATTCTCATTCCCATTTAACAGAAGAGGAAACTGACACTCAAAAAGATTTGCCCAGCCGAGACTGGTTTGGCTTAGTGGATAGAGCGTCAGTCTGTGAACTGGAGGGTCCCGGGTTCGATTCCAAGCAAGGGCACGTACCTTGGTTGCAGGCACATCCCCAATGGGGGGTGTGCAGGAGGCAGCTGATAGATGTTTCTCTCTCATTGATGTTTCTGACACTCTCTCTCCCTTCCTCTCTATGAAAAAAACAAAAAACAAAAACCCACCACCAATAAAATATATTTTTTTAAAAAAAGAAAAGAGATTTGCCCAGGGACACAGCATACTGGACTGGAACCCATATCGATGACCCAAGATGCTTCTAACACCTCCCATCCCCTAGTACCTCATTTTGACAACCCTCCCCACCACCACCACCGTCACCTGAGCCCGGGGAACTTGGAATGCTCTCCTCCAATCTGCATCTTACGTTCCCTATTGATTCTTTCACCTTTGTTTACTAGTACTTAATCCAACTTGCCACAGCCTAGGCTTCCTGTGGGCATCTCTGCGATGACAAACACTGGCTTGGGCCAGAAGAGTGGGGAGAAGTGCAGCCACGGAATCAGAGTCCTGGCTCTACCAGTAACCTTGACAGCCTCGGTTTCCATTTGTAAAATGAAGACAGTAGTGCAAGTTCTAGTCCATTTTCCCAGTACGATCGGCTAGCCATTCACAAAAACCTCTCAGTTCTGAGACTACAGAGGTTTCAGGGTTACCTCACTTGTGCGCGGACTCACAGTGAGTCGGTAACAACACGGCCACGTCTGCCTCCGGAACCAGGCTCCCCGAAGCGCCCGAGGCTGCCCTCGCCTCTCCGGACCAGCATGGGCAAAGGGAAAGGAGGCGGCAGCAGGAGCGGAGACGCCTCCTAGGGAAGAGGCCCGGCCACAACTCACCTTCCAGGATGGCGGGGATGCAGCCGAGCTGCACGGGTGTGGGCTGCTTCAAACCCAGCTGCCGACACTGTTCCACGAGCCATGAAGACAGACCGAGCTCAGCGAACCCGGCCATCCTCGCCGCCTGCCGCTGGACTCTCGTGAGCCGCGCTTCCGGCGCGTGCCAATGACGTAAAAAAATCTCCCATTGATTGGTTCCGATTGCAGCGTAGTTCCACCCTCTTAAACTCTCTCTGCCATTCCCATTCCATATCCTTACCAGGTTTTCCTGAGTCCCATTGGCTCGCAGGATTAAATCAAACTACAATTCCCGAAATGTCCTGAAAGACGCACTTGCATCTCTCGCCCCTTTACTCTGGTTTAGGAATCGCTCATTGGCTCATCTTCAGGCCGGAACTAGTAAACTACATTTCCCAGCGTGCCCCACGGTGATGCCCCGCTTCCTGTAGACGTGTCCCTCCGGAAGAGGAGTGGGTGACACCTGAGCGACATGGCGCCTCCGGCTCCCGGCTCGGCTTCCGCCGGCTCCGGAGAAGTGGACGAGCTGTTCGACGTGAAGAACGCCTTCTACATCGGCAGCTACCAGCAGTGCATCAACGAGGCGCAGCGGGTGAAGGTGCGGCCGCTCAGGCGCCGGGGACTGAAGGGGAGGCGCTTCCGGCTGGCCGCGGGTCGCGCTCTGTTTTTAAAAACTTCTGGCAGCGTTTATCGCCCAGGCATCTCCTCAAAGGCGGTGAGGAGTGATCCTCCCATGACAGAACCCGAAGCAATAGCAGGTTTTACTTCTCAGAGCGCCCGCTCTGCGTCCTGGAAGGCGTTTGAGTTAGGGGTTTACGCGGCTATAATAATAATGGCAGTGATTCTCTTTTGTTGGGCGCCCACACTGGCCGCCATACCCTCAATCCCCGTGAAGTAGAGACTGTTTGTCTCATTTTACAGATGAGAATACTCACTCTCAAGAGAGAATTTACTTCCCCAACGTTACCCTGCCCCACTAGCCGGGTTATTTCTCCCCAGTCTCATTCATTCATTCATTTATTCATTCCTTCCTCAGTGAGCATCTCGGTGGGTCAGGCAATGTGTGTTCGTGCTGAGCTCAAAAGGGTGACAAAATAGACAAAATTGTTAGCCTGGCAAGGGAAACAGTAAACAAATTAGTAAACAAGAGGTGGTGTGATGGAGAACGAGGGAATGAGCTTGGCCGTTTGAGAGTTAGAAAATAAATCCTCAGGCAGGGCCCAGCCAGCAAGGAGCTGATGACAGGAGAGGGGATGGACAGCAAGGGCTGGTAGCAGGACCTTTAAGAGAGGGACGTGGACCTTCTGTCACTTTGAGTGAACAATTGGAGAGGTTTTTTGTTTTTTTTAAGAGTGGGGAATATGGCAAGGTCTTTGCCTGTGTTCACAGCCTCATATTCCAAAGAGAGTAAGCAAAGGGAGGTTCCAAAGAGAGTAAGCAAAGGGAGGGAATGTACAACTTGAGCACTATGTGTAGGCAAGGTGAGATAACAAGTCCTCAGTCCGAAATTGGGGAAGGGGTGGCTGCTTCAGGTGGGAGCGGTCCAATCAGGCCTTCTCTTTCCCATTGTCATTTGAACCTGAGACTGAACTTTGAGAAGCTTCTGACCCCGGAAGTTATTGCAGAGGTGCTGTGGCAGGTGTGAGCTCGGGATAATCAAGGCATAAGAGGCCAGTGTAGCAGAAGTGGGGGACTGGGGGGGCACATGTCGAGGGAGAGGACGGAGAATGGTGTGGGCAGGGTGGGAGGCAGCAGGGTTTTGGATTTATTCCAAACTGATTAGGATGCTATCAGAGCACCAAAGAAGGGAGTGGCAGACGTCGTCACCGAGGCAGCCAGACGATTGGGAGGAATTTGGACTCTGAAGTAGAGAAGGCTAGCTTTCCATGCCTCTCATCTTTGGCAGTGAACCTGCGCAATGGGGACTTCGGGAAGCTGTTAGGGTTTGTTGAGATAACATTTGCACCATTGTATTAATTTTATGTTGCTGCTGCCTTGACAATTTACAACAAAGCACAAAACAACATCAATTTATGAATCTCTCGCCGTTCCTTAGGTCAGAGGTCCAGTATGGCGCTCACCATGCTTATTTCAGGTGTCATCCAGGGTTTGTCTTTTCCGGAGGTTCTAGGGAAGAATCTGCTCTCAAACTCTTTCAGATTGTGGGCTCGCCACCAGGGGTCACTCTTAGATCCTAGAAACTTTTCTCCAGTCTTCAACCTGCCTGTGCATACTCCACCCGGTCCCCAATTCCCTTCTTAGAACCTGCGATGGGGAAAGTCTGAATTTCCCCTGCTGTTGCATTCCCCTGCCTAGTATCTGCTTCTAGGGCTTCCGTGATTAGACTGGGCCCTCCCAGGTAACCAGCACACAAAGTCCCTCTGGGCAGCCTTATTTGGCCACCATCAGAACTGTATGTGCCTCCTGGCTAGGGTGGTCTAGGCCGTGAGAAGATTGAGATGGACCTCGGCTCAGATCCCAGTTCTTTCCTGTTGTCTCTGCAGCTAGGGCTGAGCTTCCGTTTCCCCTCCTGACACCTCTCTCAGTAGTGTCACTGTTCAGCATTGCACTCATGTTCACCTTTTGGCTTCTGCCATGTGTCCGTGCTGCTTATGTCATAGCGATGCGTTATTTGAGTCTTCTCACATCCTGATACGTAAACGTTACATGGCTGCTGAAGGGACCAGTGTGATCCGCTGTATACACAGAGTGACTGAAAACAAAGGAAACGTACCACGGATCCCTCTCGCTGGAGGCACACGCAGCCCAGCTTCTGAGCCATAGACATTGCCAAGACACGGCTCTGAGGCATCCAGAGAATGGGAGCGCTGTCCCTGCCGAGCCATCTGATGTCAGAGATTCTGGTCCATTGGAGCGTCTGAGCCTCTTAGGCAGCCGGTGTTGCATTGAATGCTACCCGAAAAGTATGTCCAACCCAGAGCCTGTTAGTGTGACTTATGTGGTTCAATGGAGGGTCTTTAGCTGAGATCAGCTGGGGTTTAGGAAGGCCCTAAATCGTGGAATTGGTGCCCTTCGAAGAGGAAGGCAGAGAGATTTGAGGCAGAGAAGATGGAGGCGGAGGCTGGGGTGATACAGCCATAAACCAAGGAATGCCCGGCAGACCAGAAGCTGTATAAAGCAAGCAGTGATTCTCCCCTACAGCCTTGGGAGGGGTGTGGCCCTGCGAACACCTTGATCTTGGACTTCTGGCCTCTGGAACTGTGAGAGAATATGTATCTGTTGTTTTAAGCCCCCAGTTTGTGGTAGTTTGGTACAGTCTCCCCAGCAACTTCCGATGGGCAGGACCTGAGGTGGTTCTGGGTGGAACACTGGTATGTCCTAGCCCTGTGTCACCATCATGCCCCTGTTTGTTGGACACTTTTTTTTAATGTATTTTATTGATTTTTTTTACACAGAGGAAGGGAGAGAGAGAGAGAGCTAGATATGTCGATGAGAGAGAAACATCGACAAGCTGCCTCTTGCACAACCCCTACCAGGGATGTGCCTGCAACCAATGTACATGCCCTTGACCGGAATCGAACCTGGGACCTTTCAGTCCTCAGACCGATGCTCTACCACTGAGCCAAACCGGTTTCGGCTGTTGGACACTTTTCAAGTGCCCACAAGACCTGGAATTGAACTGGTGACCTCTTGGTTCATGGGCCTAAGCTTAACCACTGAGCCACACCAGCCGGGCTGTCCTTGTTCTTATGCCTCTCAGAAGCTCTTCTCTTTCCTACTGATCGAGAAGGTCCCAAGTGTCCACATGTGGCTTTTGGTAAGACCTTGGCAGTCCTGCAGGGTTGGTGATGGTGGTGCCCATTTTACAGATGGGCAGGCTAAGAGTTTCCTCTGGGACTCAGGGGTTACCCCACACTGTCCTTCCTTTGAAGACACCAAGAGCCAGCGTGTCTGTTGTTTTTTTTTTTTTAATTTAATTTTGTTAGCCTCACGTGAGGATATTTTCCCCATTGCATTTCAGAGAGTGGAAGGGAGAGGGAGAAGGGGAGGGAGAGACATACCAACTGGTTGCCGCACATGCCCTGACGGGACAGGGGGTGGGGCGATGACAACTCAAAATCTAGGTGCCTGCCCTTGTCTGGGAATGGGATCCAAGACCCTTCGATGCATGGACTTTGCTCTAACCATTTCGCCACACCAGCCAGGACAACACGTCTGTTTTTCTACTGAAAGTGGTGTGGGGCCCCATATGGGTTGTCCACACCAGTATCCACCTCTGAGGGTCATTTGAAAGTCACTTATTTAGCAGATGTGCCCAGTCATGGCCAGATCCCAGCCTGGCCTCCACGCTCAGAGAAGGCCCCTGGGACCCTGCAGTGAAGTTGGCTTGAGTCAGGCTGGACCAGGAGCCAGGCTTCCTGTTTGTGGTCTCCTGTGGCCTGAGAGGAGGACTCGCTCACCAACCTCACCCCACCCCTCAGGCGGGGGAGAAGATGGCATGGCGACAAGGATCTGGTTCTCACCTGGGGGAGGGCAGTCCTGGTGTACCCCCACCTGTGGAACCCCAGACCCCGTGCTGTGGCAGCTATATAGGCCATCTCTCTGTGCTTGCTGGGAGGCCACCCGAGGTGGCTGGGCCCTCTTCCCACCTCACTCTTCTCTTCCAGCCCCTCGGGTAGCCTATGCCAGTGCCCCCACACCCTCTATCCACCTGTCCTAGGCATCACAGGGCCTCTAGGAAGTTGGCCAGCACCCTGGGGTCCAAAAGCTGTTCTCCTAATAGAGGGTCCCTCGCCTGCCTCCAGCCTCCCAGGACCTTCTGTGTGAGGTCATGAGGACACCTCACTTCTGCTCCTTGGCTCTCTCTAGTGGTTAGGCTGAGGCGGTGCAGTCTGTGGACCTTGTAACCCAGTACAGAAAGGTCCCCGAGGTCTCACCTGCCCGGGCTAGTCACAGATGTCCTTGTGCTGGGGCCGCAGAGCTGAGCTCTCCCGGAAAGGTCTTTTGCGTGAGGCAAACCTTTGTCTCTTCTATGCGTCATGTTTAAATTAAAGTTTCAAAACAAGAGCAGGACAGGAGCAAGCTACATGGAACTATTTGTCACAGAAAGTAAAGTCCTCGTCACACATATCCACCCAGGTCCCATTGTTCTCCAGCATCACCTGTCCCTTGACTTGTGGCTAGAGCAGTTACGGCACTTCTTCGCCCAGATCCTTACCTGGATGAGTGCTGACAGTTGAGCCTCCTTCCTGGGGTGACGTCAGGATTGGACAAGATCAGGTGCCCACCATGCTGTATGCCCTCAGTGGAGGCTGCTCTCCTGCTGGCCAGGGGCACAGGAAGTGTAAACCAGAGCCTGGACTCCATCTTGTCTGCTCCTGGCCTCTGAGGGCCCTGCCAGGCACATGGCCCGGTGGGTCCTGACCTGCCTCTGTTTCCACAGCCGTCGAGTCCGGAGAGAGACGTGGAAAGGGATGTCTTCCTGTACAGAGCGTACCTGGCACAGGTGAGCAGAGGCTATGCCTCCAGCATTCCTGGGATGGGAGAGGAAGGAACCGTGGGGAGTGGGGGTGGGGCACCTGGCAGGAGGAGGAGTCCTGGGGGCGGTGGGTGTAAGTTCTAGGCATTGGAGCTTCATTAGGGTGATGCTGGACCCTGAGAAGCTCCCTGTGTTCCTGACAGCGTGCTTGTCTCACTGCAGAGGAAGTATGGCGTGGTCCTGGATGAGATCAAGCCTTCCTCAGCCCCGGAGCTCCAGGCTGTGCGCATGTTTGCGGAGTACCTGGCCAGCGAAAGCCAGAGGTGAGGACTGGGGTGTGGGGCAGTCCTCCCTCCCCACCCCCTCACCTTCCTGTGCTTCGGTTTCCCCCACCTGGGCAGCGGTGGATTGTCCTGGCGCCCAGAAACGGAATGTGACTTCCTGGAAATGGGGTCTTTGCAGATGTAAGTAGTTAGGGTCTTGAGATCATCCTGGATATAGGATTCGCCCTAAATCCAGTGACTGATGTTCTCAAAGAGACAGAAGAGGTGACCGAGGAGAAGGCAGACGCAGAGACTGGGGTGAAGGGGATATACCAACAACTGCTGCGGCCGCCAGCACCAGGAGAGACCTGAACCTGACTCTGAGAGCCTCCAGAAGGAGCCAGCCCTGCCCACACCGTGGTCTCAGACCTCTGGTCTCCAGACCTTTGAGAGAGTAACTTCCTGGTCTGATTCCCCAGTTCACGGTGCTTTGTGCCAACAGCCTCAGGATACTGAGACAGGCAGCCTCCTGAGGCCATCGCTTCTCCCGCTCTGTACTTCCTGAGCCGGGGTGCCGAGCCCGTCCTCATGTGGAAGGGAGATGACCCTGGGCCTTCAGGGAGCGATGACTGCTGCCACCATCAGAAAAGAACCACAGAAGCTCAGGGCATGGGGAGCTCAGGGAGACAGTGGCACCTGGTGCCGCCGTCCCTTCAGCACACACTGCTGCCCCTGCAGACAGCCGGCAAGCAGGCGGTGCCGACAGCACCAGAGCCCAGAGGCTAACTACAGAGTGTGACAGGAACAGCGTGCCACGCTGATGTCACAGCGACAACAGCGGCAGCGTGTCCACACCCTGTGTGCCAGGAACCCGGCAGGAAGCTTCCAGAGATGGCTTCAGGGGCTCCTCACGCCAATCCCAGGTGGCCTTTGTACACGATCCCGCCCTGCAGACCGGGAATAGACTCGTGTGAAGTCCTTTGTCCTTCAGCCCCCGTTGGTGGGTGTGGACAGTGACGGGCATGTCCCTGCCTCCTAGAGGCCCTCAAACACGTGGCCAATAGCCCCCCAGCACCTGTATGGCACATGCATTGAAAAGACTGGGCCCTAAATAGCAGTGGTGATGCAGGCTGGACCCACACTTCCTTTCTCTTGTCAACTCCAGCAGCCCACGGCCCCCTTTAAAACACGGGGTCTTAGCTCCATTTTCCAGTGAAGCAGAGCATGGCTCATGCCTCCTGGGGCTGTGGGGTGTTTAGCTGATCCTTGGTCCAGCCTCGGTTCCAGGTGGGCTGCCAGCCCCTGGCCCAGCGTAGCCTGACGCCCACCTGTCAGGAGTGGCTTGCCTGCTGGGCCGGGACACAGGACTCCTCAGGAAGGCAGCGACATCACTGGTGTGAAATTCACTTGTGCAGCCTCATGTCCCTGCACAGGCACCCCTGCCGAGTCAGCCTGTCCCTCTGTGCCAGGGCCACAGCAGCCTGGTAGCTCTGAAGGCCCGGGGATTCTAGGCCTGGCTCATCATTCATGCTGCCTAGTGGGCATGGCCCCTCCTGCACCACATCTCCCCCACGAGGCCCGGGTTTCCCTGTCTGTGAGGGTGAGAAGTGCCTCGTGGGAAGGTGGTGAGGCTGGCACGCAGTGGTGCTAGACAGAGACAGCTGGTCCTGTTCGGTCCCTCCGCTGCTGTGCACCCCTGGGTACGTCTGCTGGTGCAGCCGGGAGGCTGCTTCCTGCCGCCCTGGGCCCTAAGCACCGTGTCTTACAGGGACGCAGTCGTTGCCGAGCTGGACCGAGAGATGAGCAGGAGTGTGGATGTGACCAACACCACCTTCCTGCTGATGGCCGCCTCCATCTACTTCCACGACCAGAACCCGGACGCTGCCCTGCGGGCCCTGCACCAGGGGGACAGCCTGGAGTGGTGAGTGCCCGGCCTCCGGGCCGCTCGGGGCCTCTCTGTCTGTTGTCATGGGGATAGGTGAGGTGGGGGCTGCTCTGAGAGATCTGCAGGGTCCAGGCCTCCCATTCAGGCTGCAGTTCCCGTTCTCTGTCCTTTCTGCATGGCTGGGCCACTGCTGAAACCCTGTTCTGACAGCAGAGCAGAAAGCACCTTTGTCTTTGCCCGTGGTTTCTGCATACACACCCCCTTTGTGTTCTGGCCTGGCCTTCCACAAACTCCCTGAGCCCCCAGCCCTCCCCTGAGACAGACCCTTGTTGAGGGCACTCCTGGGCACCGCGTAGTCAGCTCCAGCCCCCCCTCCAGGAGGCCTCTCTGGGCCTACGCCGCATCCAGGGTGCGGTGTCCAGAGCTCTGGCCCGAGGTTGCAGCTGCCCTCTCCCATGAGCTCTTTGGTGCCTGCCTTCCCGAAGTTAGTTACATATCTGTTTACATCCCAGCTCACTCCAGAAAGGGTTTGCACCGGCTTAGAGACAGGTGTGGTGCAGACAAACCTGTAAGTGTTTCTCGGGCTCTATGAGGGCTGCTAGGTTGTGTTCTGGTGGAAACCTTGAGAATGAGTGGCCACATAAGTAGTGCACAGTCACAACTGTCTAGGGCCAAAAGGGAGGAATTGGGTTCAGGAATTGTAACTGAATTTGGGAAGGGAGGTGTGTGGCACGGGTACGGTGCCCAGCCTGGTCAGAGTGCCCCTGGGCCTGGAGCCTGTACCCTTGGCACCGCACAGAAGCTCCCAGCCCCAGCGCGGTCAGTGTGAGATGTGGGAGCCAGGGCCCTGGGAGGTGGAGAGGGGTTTGGCCCAGGGAGGGATGCCCAGGTCTAATCCAGCTCTGCCGGACTGGTGGCCAGCCTCAGTGTCCTCTCTGCAAGGCACGGCCGGTGGCCTGAGCATTCATAGGAATGTCCTGGAAGATGGCGCCCACGTGGAATGAGCCCTGATGAGAGTGGAGTGGGGAGGGTGTCCACTGACCATCTGCCCTGTCCCATAGCATGGCCATGACAGTGCAGATCCTGCTGAAGCTGGACCGCGTGGACCTCGCCCGGTAAGCCTCTCTGCCTGTCCCCACCTGGGGCTGCTGGGCTGGGGCCTGGGCATCAGGTTGTCTGACAATGACAAGTCCACATCAGGCCCCCATGTTCTCCAGAGACTGGTCCTCTGCCCTCAAGGGGGCACTCAGAATGGGGACTGTCCCCGAACCCACCTTGAAATTGTTTCTCCAGTTATTTCATCCCAGTCCATTGGATGACACACCATCCTCACCTGCTTTCCCTGCAGGATTGTGGGGTGGCGATGCCCATGCCTCAGTTTCCCTCTGTGATGTAGGTGTTGGGGTGGGCTTTTTGAGTGTAGTGGAGCTGGCATGTCCAAGCCGAAGGTGGGGGGAGGGTGGCTGGGCCAGAGACCATGAGCCACCATGTGTGTGCACCCCATGACCAAGGAACACGGGTGTGCTGGGGGGCACCGCCCATATCACTTTGCTGCCTCCCACCTCTCTACCCCCAGGAAGGAGCTAAAGAAGATGCAGGACCAAGATGAGGATGCCACCCTCACCCAGCTGGCCACTGCCTGGGTCAACCTAGCCGTGGTGAGCCCCTGGCCGTGTAGGGGACTTGGAGGCAGGGTGCAGGAGCATTCGAGCGCCCGGAGGTGGCCCTGAATCCAGAGCTGCTGCTCCCATGGGGGAGTACAGATATGGGGTGCCAGGGGTACACTGGACTGATGCTTATTTGGTGCCAGGGTCCCATTACCCAGAGGAACCCCCCTGGCATGGTTCCCGCTTTACTGAGCCTCAATCTGAACCCCATTCCGGGCTTCTCGCAGCCAAGTGGCTTGGCCAGAGTCAGAGTGAACAAATTAGGGCTTCAACCAGACTTGGGGCATATCTGTCCACACGCCTCTCCGGGGATGTGCCCCCTCTAAGGTCTGGACCTGTGCCTGGAAACTGCTTCGCCTGCTCTCAGGGCTCCTGGCACCTTCCTCCGTGCCCAGCCCCCTCCTCACATGCCTGGGCACCCCATCTCTGGTCTCCTGGCAACAGCCCCTTTGCTGGTTTCTGGCCCTTGGCTGCTGTTCCCTGAGTAGCTTCTTTGTGCTGTTCCCCGAATTACAGGTTGAGCCTTGTAAAACGTGCTCCTCACTGTGCCCGCACTGCCCTTGGTGAGGCCGCACCCACGCAGGCGTCTAGCATGTGTTCAGTGTATTGGATGACCCTCTGACAGCACTCTCCGGTAGCCTTTCCTGTTTTTGAAAGCACACCTTGGTCTCAGGTTCCCTTGCAAATTGGCCCTGCACCTTTATTTATATAAACATATATATATATATATATATATATATATATATATATATATATATATATATATATGTTTGTGTTTTTTTTAATTGATTTCAGAGAGGAAGGGAAAGGGAGAGAGAGAAACATCAATGATGAAAGAGAATCATTGATTGGCTGCCTCCTGCACGCTCACCATTGGGGATTGAGCCCTTAACCTGGGCATATGCCCTGACCTGGAATCAAACCAGTGACTCTTGGTTCCTGGGTCAACACTCATCCGCTGAGCTACACCAGGCTGTGCTGGCCCTGCACCTTTAGCAAGAGGGCAGAACTCAGAACCTGGTGGGCAGGGGCAGGCCGCTGGGTACAGCGAAGAGGCCACCCTTCACACCATGCTTCCCGGTGGTGTCCGCTTGAGCTCGGCCTGGATGCCATGGGCTAACTCCCTTTGGAAGCTTCAGCTTCACGTCTGTAAACTGAGGGCTGGGGAGCCAAGTATGAGGGCTTCCTGCTGCCAGGCTGTGGGGTCTCTGCACAGGTCAGCGTTCAAGGAATGACTGCCATGGGCTGGCCACGCCAGAACACCCATTGCAGAGTGCTGGAGTTGCTCTGCTCTGAGGGCATGGGCTGGTGTAAGGCCAGGCAGCAGGGTGACAAAGCAGTGATGTCACAACTGTCCCCACAGGGTGGTGAGAAGCTGCAGGATGCCTACTACATCTTCCAGGAGATGGCCGACAAGTGCTTGCCCACTCTGCTGCTGCTCAACGGGCAGGCGGCCTGCCACATGGCCCAGGGCCGCTGGGAGGCTGCTGAGGGGGTGCTGCAGGAGGCACTGGACAAGGTAGGGCAGGCCCAGCCCATACCCAGGGCTCCTGGAGAGGATGGCAGGCGACATGGGCCACATGGGGATTTCATTGCCGAATCATTTAAAACTCGTGGTTATAAACAAAGATCCTGATTCAAGCTTCTCTTGGAAACGGGAGGGCCTTGTCAACTGGGGTCTGAGTTGGCCTGAGCTGAGCGGACAGCCGTGCCCCAGCCCTTCCTTGCTGTGACCTTGGCTGCCTGGTCTGGGGGTCTCAGTGTGACGCCTCATCTTGGTCTGTATTTGGAAGAGACACTCACTATATTCCCTATGAGGGAGGGGGAAGAGGGCTGCAGACAGGAGGTGGGCCTGGACCTTGCCAAGAAGAGGATCCAAGAATATTCATCTGGGGGGACCACACGTCTCTTCTCGCCCCTGACACCTGAGATCTTTTGCTAAATTTTTATAACCAGAAGAGATATCAAAGCTTCTTCCATTTTTAGGAAACATCTTTTTTGTTTTGTTTTTTGTTATTGTTAATGCTCATCCAAGGATATTTTTCCATTGCTTTTATTTTTTTATTTTTTATTTTTTAGAGTGGAAGGGACAGGGAGAGACAGAGAGAGAAACAAGGATGTGAGAGACCTTACCCGTCGATTGCCCCCCCCCCCCCCCCTGAGAAGCCGGGCCTCCACAAAGAAGGGCAGCCCGGGTGGAGTGGGCCCGAGCGGCCACGCACCCTGGGTGGTGCATCTCTGCCCCACGTGCCCGGCAGGGCTCCCCCACGTCCTTGCCTTAGAGCCCCAGGGGCTCTGGCGGAGGTTCCTGGCGGAGGCATCGGCTAACCCGTTCCCAGAGTTCCTTGTGCCTTAGAGCCCAGCATGGCCAGTGGGGTGATGTCACCCTCCTGGAGGCTCAGGTAATTTTCCGGCGGGAGGGAAGCTGGCTGTGGCAGCACTGAGGCTGCCTCTGGCCGGGCTTTGATACTCTGGGCTTTGAGATCCGTGTGGTAAACAGGCCCCTTCCAAATGGCCCCAGCAAGGGGCACTGTCCGAGTTTAATCCGATGAGGCACCAAGTTCAAGAGGGAGAGCAGGTGGGAGGGCCCGGAGTCACCACCTTGCAGACTGGCCAGTGTGGGGAGCACTCAGGGTCTTGGAGCCTTGAGCCTGTCCCACCCTGAAGGTGTGGCCTTGTGCAGGTCACATCCCCACCCCAGGATGGTGGGGGAGGGCCTCATCCTGCCTGAGATGGGGGTGAGCAGGTCGAGTTTGGGGCCTAGAGATGCTGACCCTGCTTGCCGTGTCCCTGTGTTTTTAGGATAGCGGCCACCCGGAGACGCTCATCAACCTCATCGTCCTGTCTCAGCACCTAGGCAAGCCCCCTGAGGTAGGTCCCCAGCCCCAGCAGGTGCACAAGGGTTGTCTGGCCCCCATGAAGCCGGCCTGGGGAAGGTGGGGCTTTGGTGTGGCCTCCGCTCCAGAGCGAGGTCAGAGCCTCAAGGACTTCAGGGTTGGCCTGGGGTATGGGCAAAAAACTCCTCCTGTGGGCAGGTACCATTGCTGCCAGTTGTCATTGCTAATGGGGCCTCAGGGGATTGGAGTTGCAGCCTCTCTCCCTGGGCCCTCACCCTGGCTGTGAGGTCCTATGAACAAGGGCCGAGACTTAGAAAGGGCACTAGGGCTGGACTCTGACCTGTGTCTACCTCAGGGTAGGGGGTGGGCAACAGGGTGGAAAGGGGCTCGGGAGTGACTCACCTTGTCAGGGTAGAGCAGGAGGAGGAGGCTGGAGCACTGCTCACTTAGGTGACTGGCCCAACTGGCCGGGGCCCAGCCAGGGATCCGAGGCAGTCACTTCCTGGCCCTCAGCTCGGGTGATGCAGGACAGCTAGGTTGACCCTTCCAGTCACCGTAGAAATGGACCCACTCCTGGTCTCAGAGAGACGGAGCCCAACAAATGCCCCAGCCCCATACAGTCAGGGCTGGGCCTGGCAGGTGGGGCAAGGCTGCCAGCAGAGGTTCTGCTGGGGCCTGTGTTTCAGTCCCCAGGTCTCTGCGTTCCTCAAACTCATCTTCCTTCCCAACTCCGTTCCCCCTGACCTCCCTCCACCCTCTGCCAGGGCCTCAGGTCCCCGTGTAGCCCTCTCCCGTGAACACTGGTAATCCCTCATTCATGTCCAAGCCTGGGCACTGTTCCAGGTGGGGCAAAGGAGGACACGTGGGAAATCCAGGCTCCTGGAGGGAGTCTGCTGAGTGACCCTTACACCACCTCCCCCTGCCCTGCAGGTCAGAGACGCGGGGTCCCTGTGTCCAGTTAACCTCATCTCACCTTCCCCACAGGTGACAAACCGCTACCTGTCCCAGCTAAAGGACGCACACAGGTTCCACCCGTTTATCAAGGAGTACCAGGCCAAGGTGAGCCCCAGCCCCCAGCCCCCCAGCCCGCAGGGAGGGCCTGGAACTCGGGTTTTGACTCACACGTGTTTCCTTTCTCTTTTGCCCCATTTCATGTTGCAGGAAAATGACTTTGACCGGCTAATACTGCAATATACTCCCAGCGCCTGAGGCCGCCCCGATGCGTTTCCTCAGTGGGAAGGTGAGGCCCAGCCGTGCTGCCCTCCCGCTGGGCACCCGCCTTCACCGTTCTCCCTCACTGGCTGTCAGAGGCAGACGCTGGAAGCCCGACCCTCTTCTGTCAATAAACATCTCCTCCCGGCTCTCCCCACCGGAACCATGTGTGCACTGGCCGCTTTGAGAGGGGCGTTTGGGAACCAAAGCTGGGACAGGAGGCACCTGGGCACAGGGTCCTGGAGACCGGGGTCCATGAACAGCAGCGAAGGGACTCCTTTGCTCCTCAAAACAGCTGCCCCATGCTGCTCAGCTGAAGACACAGCTGTGTCCCTCCAGCCCCGTTGGCATCCAGGGACACTGAGGCACAGAGGGGTCACAGCCATCAAGGGGAGCAATAGGATTCAAACCCAGGACCTCCAGGTGGTCTGTGGGTGGTGAGGGGGCTGGAAGTGCTCAGGCCTCAGCATGGCTAAGCAAGGGAGGAGTGTACTGAGTCCTCATGGAAGAACACCAGCCCCTCAGGCCCCTGCTCCTTGGAGTCATTGGCCAAGTTTGGACCTGCTGTGATTAGGGCTCTGCTGGAGCACAGGGTGGAGAGAGAGAGGCATAGTGTTTGCCCTTCGAGACAAGAGGAAGCAGGACAACAGGGAGAGGGGTGGTAGCTGGCCTCTGGGATGAGGTTACCATCAGGCTGTGTTCACTCAAACTAGAAGTTGCTGCCAGGCTGATTCTGGAGGACAAGCATCTTAAGCAGCAGGAACAGCCCATGCAAAGGCCCTGAGGCCATACTGGGCTCCAGGAGCTGGACAGCGTTTCTTGGGTTCCCATGCCTGGCCTCATCTGCCCTAAATGGCTACCCAGACTCAATCCTGGTTGCCAGGACAGGACACAGCAAGAGCCCCCTCCAGCAGAGCTGGCCCCTAGCCTCTCCCTGCCTGTGTGGGCTTAGCAGGGAGAGGTGCAGAGAAGGCCTCCCAGGCAGGGGCATCAGTGGGGGGAGAGGAGCCTGCCCTCTCGGGACAGAGAAGCAGCACCAGCCCCTTACCAGGCCCCTGGTGCCCGGGAGCCCTGGTTTCCAATTGCCAGCACCAAGAGCTACTTTCCATTTCGGCCCTGCACCCACTGTTGGTGGCCTCTCTGGGCCCTGCCAGAATGAAACTAGAGGCAGGGCTGGGCTGGTGGGCAGAGCCCTCTCCCATTACTGTGGACACCAGATAGTGCTGGGCGGTGGGGAAGACCCAGGGCTGCTCCACAGGCCGAGGTGGACCTGTGGGGGCATATCCAGCCAGCCAGGACCTCTGAGCCTCTCTGCCTGCCAGGTTGGCTGTGGAATTAGTCACCCAATGGGATGGATGGAACACCAACCCCCCTTCCCCAATCCATATCACATTCAAAAATAGTAGGAGGTACAGCAGGACAGATGGTGCCAAGTGCCAAGGAGAAGGCTGATTGGGAGGGGGGTCAGGGAGGTACACTGAACAAGTGTCATTTGTAGGTGACGCCTGAAGTTAAAGGAGATGCCCTGCCATTGCCTAGCAGTGGTCAGCAAACTCAGTCAGCAGAGCCAAATATCAACAGGACAACGATTGAAATTCCTTTTGAGAGCCAAAATTTTTAAACTTAAACTTCTAATGCCACTTCTTCAAAATAGACTCACCCAGGCCATGGTATTTTGTGGAAAAGCCACACTCAAAGGGCCAGAGAGCTGCGGTTTGCCGACCACTGACCTAAGGGAACAACATTCTGGGCGGAGGGAACAGCCAGTGCAAAGGCCCTGGGCAGAAGTGTGCCTGAGGTACTAGAGGACCAGGGAGGAGCCCAGTGTGGCTGTGATGGAGCCAGGTGGAGAGGAGGCAAGAGGGCAGGTGGTGAGTCACAGGAGTTGGGTTTTTCCTCTGAATAATGGAAACCAGGGGGACGGTGAGCAGAGAAGGCTCCTGCTGACCTCTGCGGGGTAAGGAGAAAGCCAGGGAGTCGGACGGGGCACGAGGTGGCCAGGACCACATGAGACGGTGCAGGTGTCAAGAAATGGCTGGATTCAGGAGCATTTGCAGGTGTCGTTGTGCTGCAGGAGTGGTTGGGGGAATGAGGGGAAGAAATGAGGGCCCTTTGACTCCTACCTGTTTTCACCTGTTCATCTGAAGGTCAAATCAGGCTGCCTGGACTTCAGCAGAGCCCACACTGATGCCTGCCCTCCACCTCAAAGGCTAGGGGCTAACATCCCGGATGTGGGTAAAGGAGGGACACAGGTGGGTGGGAGTCCTGGGGGCTGGGATGGGAGCTGTCAGTGCCCTCAGTGATGGCTACTGGGGGGCTTCAGGCACAGGGCCCATCAATGGAGAGTGGAAGGTTACCTGGGATGGTTCCATTAAAGCCTGGTTTTGATCCAGCCTCTGAGTACCCGCCCCCCAAGTGGGCACCCACTCCCTTGGCCTCACAGCCTGTGTTAACCTGCTGCAGGGGAGTCCTGCCAGGTCCTCGGGGTCATGGAAGTCCATCAGGTGGCCTTCAGACACGACCTAACTTCTCAGGCGCTCTGGCCACTCCTCCAGGGGACCCCTGATGCCTGCCATCTACCTTCCACTTGAAACCCCTGAATCCTGGGTGGGTGCAGAGGAGCAAGCCTGAGTCCACATCCAGGTCCCCAGTCCAGGAACCCTGGGTTGGAGGGTGGAATCTTCACCAGGTGTTTCTTCGCCTTCGAGTGGTCAGTGTCCTCTTGAGAATGAGAACAGGCCCTCGTTTACAGTAAACCTGGATGCAGTGAGGTCACTGGGTGCACCAGGGCCCTGTGGCTGCCTCAGGGAATGGTGAGGGCTGGGGAGGAAAACGTGCCTGCTTGCTGGTGCCCCTTTGCCCCTTGCCGAGGGCACAGCATAGGGGTGGGGAGCCCTGGAGGCTCTGCGCCTGGGATTCCTCCGCTGGAAAAATGGGGCCGAACATGGGTTTCCTCTGCCGCAAGATGGGACGCTGGTGGTCCCTGCGGCCGCCTCGTGGGGATCCAGCACCTGCGAGCCCCCAGATCGTGGCCTCCGCGCCCGGGCCCCGCGTCCCCCGCCGGGGCGGAGCTTACGGCTGCCCCGCCCCGCGGTCCCCGGCTCCGGCCGCCGCGCCCCCCGCCCGGCTGTGGCGCGTGACGCGGGGCGCGCAGCTCGGCGGGCGGCGGACACAGGCGGCCGGCGAGCGGCATGGCGGCGGCGGCGGCCTCGGCGGGCCCGGCGGGCCCCGAGCCCATGCCGAGCTACGCGCAGCTGGTGCAGCGCGGCTGGGGCAGCGCGCTGGCGGCGGCGCGGGGCTGCGCGGACTGCGGCTGGGGGCTGGCGCGCCGCGGCCTGGCCGAGCACGCGCACCTGGCGCCCGCGGAGCTGCTGCTGCTGGCGCTCGGCGCGCTCGGCTGGACCGTGCTGCGCTCCGCGGCCACCGCGCGCCTCTTTCGGGTCAGTGCGGCCGGGCACCGGGCGCGGGCAGGGGGCCCGCTGTGCACCCCTTTCTGTCTCTGCGAGCTCTGGCTGCGGGGTCCCGGGCCGCCCCGCGCCCTTCTCTGTCAGCGCGAGATGGGGGTGGGGATGGATGCGGGGGTGTGGCCGGACCGGGACACCCGCGAGGTTGGGTCGGTGACACGGGTGGGGTGTTCGTGATGTGGGGGAACCGAGCACGACCCGTCCCGGTCCGTGCGGGGAGGAGGCCTCTGTGTGTAGCTGTGGAGGCCTGAGGGCACGGGGCCGGTCTGCGTCTGGAAACGCCCGGCCATGCGGGGAGGGCGGGGGCCTGGAGCCCCAGCCGGAGCGGGTCCGGGGCCTGGGCAGCCGGCAGAGCCCTTTGTCGGCGGCTACCGGGGAGGGTCGGCGTTCCCCTGTCGCTGCCTTGTGGCTGCTGGAGTCAGCGCCGCCTCCGGGGAGGCAAAGACCTGGGTTCATCCGCCTCGCTGGTGGTCCCAGCCTTGGGGGGCCGGGGGGAGGGGGTTAGGAGGGCCTGAGGCTGCCTCCGAGAGGCGCTGACGGAAATGCCCAGTTTTCAGTGGGCCCGAGAGGCCACCGCCCCGGCTGGACCGGAGGGTGACCATGAGGTGACATTGGCGCCTGGCCTCCCTCCCATCTGGGGAGGGGTCTGCTCTGGGGGCTGCTGGGAAGAGGGTTGGCCCCCAGCTCAGCTGCCCCTCCCTCCTGGGCCAGCCCCAGGCTGGCTGGACGTGGCCGGGGCGCAGGGACAGAGCGCCCCGACCGACAAAGGGGCCTTTCTCTGCGCCTGGGAACGGCTGGCTGGCTCTCGTTAAGTTGGGAGGGGGTTGTCTGGCTGCTAGTGACCCCACCCTCTCCCCGCATCACCCCCTGGGGAGAGACCCTGGCCGTCACCCCGTCAGGGAGGCCAGGCAGGTATGACAGAGTCCCCTCCACAGTTAGCCTGGTCCCTGTTGGGCTTTATCGCTCCCCCACCTTCCCAACCTCCAGCTGGGAGTGGGGAGTCCAGGAGGATGAGGGCCAGTGCTCAGGAGGGGGATGTGGTCACTCTGGGGCCACCGAGGCGGAATGGGGTCCCTGCCCATGTTCCTGAGGGACCTGGGCTGGGACAGCAAGGGCAGGTCCCCCCTGACTTTTGGAATCCCTTCCCGGGCTGCCCTCCCTCAGCCTCTCGCCCCAATTCGAGGCGCGCCTTTCCCAAGAATAGGCGGAGGGGCTGCTGCGCAGGCCGCCAAGGCTCATCTTTTTGGCAGCAGCCTGGTTGCCAAGGGTTACCAGAGCTGGCTCTGGCTGTCTCTATGACAACTGGAGTTGCTCCAGTCCCCTCAGCCTCTGGAAAGGGGGCGGAACTTGGCCCGACAGCTCCGCCCCTGAGGAGCTTGAGGCCCCGCCCCACCCTGGACCCCAGAGTGAGATTCCTCAGCACCTCGTCATTGCATGTCCCCACCTTCCTCATGTCCTCCCCCAAATACCCACTCCATCTTCCCCAGGCCCTGGTTCCTCTCTAGTCTCCCCAAATTCCTCCCCTGAGGCACCCTCTCCCTCACATTTCTGCCCCGCGAGGGTCTCTTGCGGTTCCAGCCCTCCACGTTCCCCCCGGTGTCCCGTATTCCCCTCCGTGTTCTCTTACAGGCTCACAGCCTCGGTCCCGCCACGTCTTTTCCTTAACCCCCTCCTGTTTGTCATACCCCCGGGTCCCCGTTACCCCCAAGCTGCTTGACTCCCCTGTGCAGACCCCGCTGACCTCCCTTGCTTTATGCTCACTCTTTCCCCTCCGGGCCCTCAGAGCTACCCTCACATTCCCCTCCGGCCCCCGTCACTCCCCTCTGCACACCTCAGCCAGACAGCTGGGCACTAAGTTTAGCCCTTGGCAGGCACACGTGGGCTCTGGTTACTCCAGGCGGCTGTGGGCATCCAGTGGCCCCTCCCCAGCTCTGCCCAGCCCGGGGAATCCCTGGGCCTCGGCCTCCCCCCCCCCAAAGGAATGGCTCCTGCTCTGATGGCCTGTCTTCTCCCCCACAGCCCCTGGCCAAGCGGTGCCGCCTCCAGCCCAGAGATGCCGCCAAGATGCCTGAGAGCGCCTGGAAGTTCCTCTTCTATCTGGGCACCTGGAGCTACAGTGCCTACCTGCTCTTTGGCACCGACTACCCCTTCTTCCACGACCCACCCTCTGTTTTCTACGGTGGGTCCCCAGGGGGTGAGGGATAGTTCTGCTCTGAACACGGAGGAGAAGGGCAGGTGGGGAGCTGGCACTCTCAGCCATCCCATTCTGGGTGTCTGCCCCAGACCAGGGTGATCAGGGGGCCCTGGGGGCATGAAAGGGGTACCTGCACGTCTTACGGCTCAGGGAGGCATCCTAGAGGGGGTGACCCCTTTTGTGGGCCCAGGTGGGCACTCCAGGCGTCAGGAACAGCACATGCAAAGGCCCTGGGGCATACACAAGCTTGGTGCGAGAGAAAGGCGGGAAGGCAGCAAAAGTTTGAGTGTATTCTAAATGGGATAGTGTGTGGATTATAAAAAGCTTCCTCTCGCTGCCAGATGGAGGCAGCAATTTTACTCTTTTGTTTTGTTTTGTTTTGTTTTGAGTGAGCGAGAGGAAGAGAAAGAGATGCATTGATTCATTGTTCCACTTATTATGCATTCATTCGTTGATTCTTGTATGTGCTCTGACTAGGGGTCAAACCTTCTACCTTGGCATAGCAGGACAATGCTCTAACCACTGAACTACCTGGCCAGGGCTAAGAGAGCCAAGTCTTGGGTGAGGATGGTAGCAAGGTCTAGGGGGGAAGGGAGGGACCAGTGTGGTTCAGACCAGCTTGGCAAAGGGACAGAGACGGTGAGAAGTGGCTGCACCCGTGGATTGGGTTCGATGTGGGGGTAGTCAAGGACTGAGCTCTGGGTGGGATGGACAGGAGGGTCTCTGCAGTGTCCTCTGTCACCAAGCAGGCCAGGATGGGAAATGTGGCCTGTGATGGGGGGGAGGGTGCCTGGTGGCACCGTAGGAGAGCTGGCATGGAGCCCCTGCGTTGTAGGGTCCTGGTAACAAGCACTGGGTTTCCTGGGCGCCCGGCTGTCTTCACGGGACTGTGCTGCCCACGTGGCCGTTTTCCTGTGAGCCTTTCCCACGTGGTAAGTTTCTAGAGGAGAAGTGTTCGCTGTCATTCAGAGTCCCTTTATGCAAATGAGCCGTAACTGAACTCTCTGAAAATGTCAGGCATGGCCCCATGCTGCGGCCCCATGCTTGTAAGTTAACTGCCTGTTCGACGGCTCGTTCTTTGGCACACACCAGCTGTGTGCCAGGCTGTGAGCAGGTCAGAGCAAGCCCCCCGACAGACGGTGACATAGAAAACCTGCCTCCAGCGATCAGTGCTCACGAGACACTTTGGGGAGCGTGGGGTGTCTGAGAGGAGCGCAGGTCCTACAGCAGCAGGGATAGCGCTTTTGAGTGAGGGCCCGGAGGTGCCGGGTAGCACATTCCTGGTGCATCGGAGCAGAGAGCAGCTCTCCTGGCCAGGGCAGGTGGGCAGGAGGGCAGGTGGGCAGAAAGGGTATTTACCACGAGGCTGTGAGCAGAGAAGAGGGCTCCAACCAGGACAGGCCTGGGCAGAGGAGAGAAGTTGATTTGAGAAATGTTTTAGTCTGGCCGGTGTGGTTCAGTGGTTGAGCGTCGGCCTGTGAACCAGGAGGTCATAGTTCAGCTCCTGGTCAAGGCAAATGCCCAGGTGGGGGGCTCGATCCCCAGTAGGGGGCGTGCAGGAGGCAGCCTATTGAAGATTCTGTCATCATTGATGTTTCTACCTCTTTCTCTCCCTTCCTCTCTCTCGGAAATCAATAAAAACATGTGTTTTTAAAAGAAAAATGTTTTGAAGGCCGAGCTGGTAGGATTTGCTGCCAAACCAGAGGAGGGTCTGGGCTCCTCAGTGAAATGGGGGGTCAGTAGGGTTGGGTCCAGGGGCAACCAAGGCCCTGATATTGGAGGTGGGAGAGGGGGTGACATGAATACCCAGGGCAACAGATGGGACGTTGGAGAGGAGGCTGGGGTCCGTGGACAGAGCTGGCCTTCCATCATGCGGGGAGGGGCAGTCAGGACGGTGAATTACATGCCTGCTCCCCCCTGCCCCATACTTGGGGCCTGAGGCTGGACGCTCACCCACTGTGAGTCTTCCCGGTGGAAGAGGTGGAAGACTTCCCTACCGCTCTGTGCATCGAGGCTCTGCAGGCTGTCCTTGTGAAGAGGGACAGGCGTCTGGCAGTTGCGGGGAGCGGGGAGGTGGTGGGCGTGGGGGCCCTCCAGCTGCAGCGTTCCCGGTTTGCTGTCAAACTTTTCGAAGCCCCTGGATGTGTTAAGAGTCGGGGAGATGAGATCTGATTTCGTGGGCAGTTTTGCTTTCTTTTATCGGGTAAAATGCTCGAAACATAACAGTAACCGTTTTGGCTAGACAGTAAGTACTGTGAGTGCATCCATAGGAGGTCCCAGAGGAGATAGGGCCTGGGGGAGGGGCGGGGCGGGGGTGTTCAACAAGGACAGTTCAGTTTTGCAGCAGCAGAGGGTTCTGGAAGGATAGCAGCAGAGGGATCTGGGAAGGATAGCAGCAGAGGGTTCTGGAAGGATAGCAGCAGAGGGTTCTGGGAAGGATAGCAGCAGAGGGTTCTGGGAAGGATAGCAGCAGAGGGTTCTGGGAAGGATAGCAGCAGAGGGTTCTGGGAAGGACGGTGGGGATGTGAATGTGCCTGATGCTGCAGGACTTATAGTGCACGTGGACCGTCTGCTTGTGGCTTCTTTCACTCAGCAGCGTGTTGTTTTGTTTTTATATATTTTTTAAAAATGTATTTTTATTGATTTCAGAGAGGAAGGGAGAGGGAGAGAGATAGAAACATCAATGAGAGAGAATCATCGATTGGCTGCCTCCTGCACGCCCCCCCACACTGAGGATCGAGCCTGCAACCCGGGCCTGTGCCCTTGGCTAGAATCGAACCTGGGACCCCTTAGTCCACAGGCTGACACCCCGTCCACTGAGCCAAACCAGCCAGGGCTCGGCATCGTGTTTTCTGGGTTCATCCACACAGTGTGTCAGCAGGTCTGTCTTTTTTACGGCTGAGTGATCTTCCACGTGTGGAAGGACCACATTTTGCCTGTCCTTTATCTGTTAATGGGTTCTTTCCACTTTCTGGCAGCTGTGACTAGTGCTGCTGTGAATATGCATGTCCGAATGCCTGTGTGAGTCCGTGTTCATTCCCTTGAGCACACGCCGAGGAGTGGAATTGCTGGGCCGTGGGGTCTGTGTTTTCACAGCCTGTGAGCCCCCATGGGGAGAGAGGGCAGTTGGGAACACTCAGAGGCCAGGAGGCGCGGGGGCAGTGCTGGCGCCTGGACCAGAGTAGGGGCAGAGGGGGGCGGGGGAGTGAGCTAAGACATGGGCCGAAGAGGGGGATCTGCGTGGATCTCCTTTGCAGGAGTGGCCAGAGCACAGATGAAGGGTCATCTTGAGCAGGGGCGTAGGTGGAGTCTAGGAAACTTAGGGCTCCAGGAGGAGTCGCTGAGTTACGGGTGGGGCAGAGGAGGAGCGTCCAGTGAGCAGAGAGGCCCAGGACAACTGGCAGAGCCCTCGGCCCCGGCAGTGGGCAGAGAAGAAAACTGGGGGTCAGCGTTGCCAAGAAGGGGTGAGACCTGGGTGAAGGGGGCACAAGTGCCGGGAGTGAAGGAGGCAGCAGGCGGCGGGGAGAGGAGGCTGGGGCCCGCCTGGGGAGAGCCGTCTTCCTTGGCAGCAACAGGGTCTGTGACTTCTGCTTCAGCTGCTGTGCCAGCGCCAGGAGGTGGGCAGCAGCCTCCGTCCATCCTCCATCCGGTTGGTAATTTGCTGGGGGCGGGGACGGCTAGAATAGGAGCGTACCCGCTGGCTGGAGGTAATTAAGAGAAAATGGGCCGAGACCGGTTTGGCTCAGTGGATAGAGCGTCAGCCTGCTGACTGAAGGGTCCCGGGTTCGATTCCAGTCAGGGGCATGTACCTAGGTTGCGGGCACATCCCCATTGGGGGGTGTGCAGGAGGCAGCTGATCGATGTTTCTCTCTCATCAATGTTTCTAGCTCTCTATCCCTCTCCCTTCCTCTCTGTAAGAAATCAATAAAATATATTTTAAGAGAGAGAGAGAGAGAGAGAGAGAGAGAGAGAGAGAGAGAGAGAAGACAGGAAGGGCAACCAGGGCAGAGTCAGAAATCCTGCAAGGGATGGATCCCCGGGGCCGGAGCACCTCCTTCTATAGAACTGAATCCGCTCCGGAAGATAGTGCTCATTAATGAAAGGCAACTGGTAGAGAACAGGGGATGGAAAGCCAGTGGCCGGTGCGTCTGCAGAGACACGAGAGGTGTGGGGTCACTCGGGTCACTCGCCCCCGATGACCGGCCCGGCTCTCCCCAGACTGGGCGCCGGGCATGGCGGTGCCCCGGGACATCGCGGCTGCCTACCTGCTGCAGGGCAGCTTCTACGGCCACTCCATCTACGCCACGCTCTACATGGACGCCTGGCGCAAGGACTCGGTGGTCATGCTCGTCCACCACGTGGTCACCCTGGTCCTCATCGTCTCCTCCTACGCCTTCCGGTGAGTCCAGGTGGGGAGGGCACTTCATGAGCAAGGGCGGGGGGCTGGCCCAGGGCAGAGCTCGTGCCTGGGGGAGGGAGATGGAGGGGAGGCATGAGGTGTTCGTGGGGGAGGGTTTCGGAGAGATCCCAGAGGGAAGGGGGGGAAAAGGTGCAGGGAGCCCTGTCCCATTCACCCACCCCCCCGGATGGCACCCTGGACCAGGTCACATAGCAAGTGTTTCCTGAACCCCTGCCATGTGGCAGGTGCTGCTGGGAGCACAGCCACCAACAGATAAACCTGAAGTCTGAGAGCCCACACCTGCCACCGATCCGATCCAAACTGCGACCTGCAATTGTTTTCACATCCACCCCTGTCAGAAGCAAAGGGATACACATATCTCCCCAGACCTTTGCTACATCATCGAATGTTGAAATAACAGTATTTTGGGTATACTGAGCTAATTAGGACATTATTTTCTTTTCTTTTTTAATATGTTTTACTTGTTTTTTACAGAGAGGAAGAGAGAGGGATAGAGAGCTAGAAACATGGATAAGAGAGAAACATCGATCAGCTGCCTCTTGCACACCCCGCACTGGGGATGTGCCAACAACCAAGGTACATGCCCTTGACAGGAATCGAACCTGGGACCTTTCAGTCCTCAGGCCGACACTCTATCCACTGAGCCAAACCGGTTTCGGCTAGAACATATTATTTTAATTTTTCTCTCTTTTTTTAACATGGGTGATAGAATATCTAAATGAGGTCTATACTCTTTTTTTTTTTTTTAATGTATCTTATTGATTTTTTACAGAGAGGAAGGGAGAAGGATAGAGAGTTAGAAATATTGATGAGAGCCGAAACCGGTTTGGCTCAATGGATAGAGCGTCGGCTTGGGGACTGAAAGGTCCTGGGTTCGATTCACTGCTCCAGCTGCACCTTCCAATATAGTAGCCAGTGATTACAAGTGGCTACTTCAACTTTAATTAAGCTTAAATAAAATCACACATTCTGCCCTCGCCGGTTTGGCCTTAGTGGGTAGAGCTCCCGCCTGCAGCACAAAGAATCCCGGGTTCGATTCTGGTCAAGGGCATGTAGCTTGGTTGCAGGCTCCACCCTGGCCCAGGACACAAGGACTCGTGCAGGAGGCAACCAACTGATGTGTATCTCTCACGTCGATGTTCCTTTCCCTCTCTCTTCCACTCCCCCTTAAAAAAAAAAAAAAATCAACGGAAAAATATCCTCGGGTGAGGATTAACAAAAACTACAAAAAATCACACATCGGCGGAAAGTGGTTTGGGTCAGTGGATAGAGCGTCCGTCAGCCTGCAGACTGAAAAGTCCGGGGTTCGATTCCAGTCAAGGGCATGTACTTTAGTTGCGGGCACATCCACAGTAGGGGGTGTGCAAGAGGCAGCTGATCGATGATTCTCTCTCATCAGTGTTTCTGACTCTCCCTCTCTCCTCCTCTCTGTAAAAAATCAATAAAATATATTTTATTTTATTATTTTTTAAAATAAATTTTTATTGTTCATATTATTACAAATGTTCCTTCCTCCCTCCCCCCTTCATTGCTCTCCTCCACCAGGTTCCCATCTCACCCTCTGCCCTTTCCCCACCCCCCATTGTCCTCATCCATAGGTGCACAGTTTATGTTCAGTCTCTTCCCACATCCCCCTCTCCCCTTTTCCCTGAGAATCGTCAGTTCACTCCCCTTCCATACCTCTGATTCTATTATATTCACCAGTTCATCAGATTTTTTAATTCCCTTGGTTTTTAGATTCACTTGTTGATAGTTACATATTTGTTGTTCATAATTTTTATCTTTATTTACTTTCTCTTCCAAAAGAACCCCCTTCAGCAATTCATATAATTCTGGTTTGGTGGTGATGAACTCCTTTAGCTTTTTTTTATTAGTGAAGCTCTTTATCTGGCCTTCGATTCTGAGTGATAGCTTTGCTGGGTAGATTATCTTTGGCTGTAGGTTCTTACTACTCATCACCTTGAATATTTCTTGCCATTCCCTTCTGGCCTGCATGGTTTCTGTTGAGAAATCAGCTGACAATCGTATAGGTGCTCCTTTATAGGTAACTACCTGCTTTGCTCTTGCTGCTTTTAATATTCTCTCTTTGTCTTTTGCTCTTGGAATTTTAATTATGATTTGTCTTGGTGTGGTCCTCTTTGGATTCCTTTTGTTTGGAGTTCTGTACGCTTCTTGGACTTTTAAGTCTAATTCTCTCACCAGGTGGGGGAAGTTTTCTGTCACTATTTCTTTCAATATGTTTTCGATATCTTGCTCTCTCTCATCTTCTGGGACCCCCATAATTCTGATGTTGGTTCGCTTGAAGTTGTCCCAGGGGTTCTTACATTATCTTCAATTTTCTGGATTCTCTTGCCTTCTAGCTTCTGCGGAGGAGTGTCTTCTGGCTTTTATGTTCCAAATCTTTGACTTGATTCTTGCGATCTTCCATTCTGTTTTTAGGACTCTGTATAATATTTTTTATTTCAGACAATGTATTCTTTATTTCTTGTTGATCCCTTATCATTTCTTGTTGATCCCTTATCATTTCTTGTTGATCTCTTTTCATATCCTCATAGGTCTTATCGATCTTTTCTAGGAAATTCTTTAAAAACCTTATAAGCGTAGATTTGAACTCTATATCCAGTCGCTTTTTGTCCTCCATTTCTTTCGTTTGTGATCTATTTCGTTGTCGCATTTCGCAGCTACAGATGAGGCGGGTTTCAGGGTGGAGCCTACAGCCTTGGCTTCTGTCAGCCCCGCCCTATGCGGGTCCTGGGTCTCAGGGTCCTTCAGTACTCACTGCAAAGCGCCTCTGAAAGATAGGTGCCCTCGATTTTCGCCTGCTGCCAAACAGTCTAGGCTCTCCCCCAATGAGCCCGGAACTGGGGTTCAGTTTAGTTGGAAGTGGGGTTGGAGGTGGCATTCAGAGCAGACTGGAGCCCCTGTCTCCTTCCCGCCAGGGCAATCCCGCGGCACAGCCAACCGTCCCTTCTCTGCGGGCAATGTGCGCGCCGCTGGGACCTCCTTTCGCCACTCCCCCGGGGTTCCTCCTTACAGCCCAGCTCCCTATGGATGAGCCTGGGTCCCCGGGGTCTGGCCTAGAACTGGGGTTCAGAGCAGTGGGAACTGGGGCTTAGCACAGTTGGACCTTTTATCTCCTTCCCGCTAGGGAATGCCAGCCAGGCACTCAGTCATCCCTCCTCTCCGGCTCCGTCCTCTCGGTGCGCGCCTTGTGTCTCCGTTCCTTAGGCTTTTACAGCTCCTCTGCTCTTCCTTCTGGTTTTCTCCTTGCTTCTCGTTGTAGAATTTCCAGTCAGTCGACTTTCCTGTAGTTCTGGGTAATGTCCATTTTATATTTTAGTTGTATTTTATTGAAATTGTTGTGTGCTGCTGCGGCTAGGTGTTTACCTGGGAGCAGCCATCTTGGATCGATCTCTATTTGTGTAGAAACAGTTTTTAACTCCTAACTTACCATACCCCACCTGTCATCCACGTATGGGGTAAGGGCTGCCTCACGTGCTCTGCGAAAAGGCTAAGTGAGGCCTTTGCCAGAGAAAAGCTGCACTGGCTCCCCTGAGTCCCACTGCGACCTGTCCTGTCGTTAATTCCCAGAATGCCATTGACATCCTGGGCTTCCAAAAATCAATAAAATATATATATTTTTTTTTAAAAAATCACACATCTGTCCCTCAGGCACACCACCCACATTTCAGCTGCTCCGTGGCCACATCTGGCTGGTAGCTCCCATGTGGATAATGCAGGTATAGAACTTTCCCGTTGTTCTAGAAAGTTCTCAGCACTGCTCTGGAGGATAAAATCAGATAACAGGCCCCACCTCTCAAAAAAGGAAAACGAAAGAAAGAAAAGACTAATTTGTTTGCAGGTATTAACTATGGAGAAAAATCAAGTCAGAAGGTAAGGACTGAGGGATGGCGAGGTGTGGGGGGGGGGGATGTGGGTGACAGGTGAGAGAGACAGGAGGTGAGGGAAGGCTCTGCCAGCACCGGGAGGCACGTGTCGGGTGCTGGGAGCAGGAAGGCCAGGTGGGGACAGAGCCATGGCCCCGTGCAGGCTGAGCTCAGGACTCCTGGCTCAGGCAGTGGGAAGGGGGACCCGGGCGGGAACGGGGACACCTCTCCGCCTCCTTCAGCCCCTGGTGGGGACCTGCACTTCCGCGGCACCTGCAGCCCACAGCCAAGTTCAGGTAAACCCCATAGACCGGGGTGTCGGCCAGTGTAGGGATCCGGACACACAAGGCCCTGGCCTGTGGGGGTCAGCGTCCCGGTGGGTCAGAGTCACAGGAATGAGAAGGATCAGAGAAAGGACTTCCAGGCGGCTCCTGGGCTCCTGGGCAGCGAGGTGTGGACCCAGGCGGGCGGTCCCCTGAGCACAGTCTGGGTGCTGCCGCCGACCTGGCCCTTTGGGGGTCGGGCAGGGCTGGTGAGCCAGAGGGGTGGCTCCGAAAGGCAGGAAGGGGTGCCCCGGGGCCTGCCTTGGGGTCCTCAGTGCAGGGATTGGGACCCTGTGTGACCGCCCTCTCCCCTCTCCGGCCCGGCTCCCCTCAGGTACCACAACGTGGGCATCCTGGTGCTCTTCCTGCATGACATCAGCGACGTGCAGCTGGAGTTCACCAAGCTCAACGTCTACTTCAAGTCCCGGGGGGGCTCCCACCACCCTCTGCACGCCCTGGCGGCCGACCTGGGCTGCCTCAGCTTCAGCCTCAGCTGGTGAGCGGGCCGGAGGGCGGGGCGGGCGAAGGCGCAGGCCCGTGGGGAGGGCCGGGCCTGGCGGGGATGGGGGGTGAAGGAGTGGACAGGGGTGTGCTTGGCAGGAACAGAGATAAGGGTGGGGCAGCCAGACCAGGAGGGTGAGGATGCGCAGGGACAGATGGATGAGGCCAGACGGCATCGGACAGAGACGGCGGGGCCACCCCCACCCTCCCGCCTCTCTTGCCCTCGGCTTCCCTGGCCTGTTCTCCCCTCCACAGGTTCTGGTTCCGCCTCTACTGGTTCCCACTGAAGGTCCTGTACGCCACGTGCCACTGCAGCCTGCGCTCCGTGCCCGACATCCCCTTCTACTTCTTCTTCAACGCGCTCCTGCTGCTGCTCACCGCCATGAACCTCTACTGGTTCCTGGTGAGTCGGCTCCGGCCCCCTCAGCTGGCAGTCCTGCCCCCAGGGGCCGGGTCCAGGTGCACCCCGGGGGCGGGCACGTGGGGACCAGCCTGCCAGGGGCCTGAGGCAGCAGTGCGTGGCCCTCCGAGGGCAGCGAGGTCGGTCGGGGCGGGCGCTCTTCTTACCGCGTCTCCCCCCCCTGCAGTACATCGTGGCTTTTGCTGCCAAGGTGCTGACGGGCCAGGTTCGGGAGCTGAAGGACGTGCGGGAATACGATGCAGCGGAGAGCCCCAAGCCCAGCAAAGCTGAGTGAGTTTGGAGGGGCTGCCGCCCCGTCCGTTCCTTCGGTCGCACCGTCCGCGGAGCGTGCACTGGGGCCGGCCTGCAGACACCGCGGCCGCCAGGCCGTGGCAGACGCCGCCCCGGAGTCTGCGTCCGGAACAGACTGCAGTGAGGTGTGGGGGACATGGTGATGGCGGTAGATGCTGAGAGGGTAGATACCGAGGAGGCGAAAGGGAGGTCAGGGTGGAGCAGAGGAGTGAGGGGCAAGCATCAGGGCGCCAGGAGTGGAGCCGTGAGGGCCAAGCCAGGGCGCCCGTGGGTGTGAAGGAGCAGCCATTGGCCAGGCAGGAGGTGGGGCGGGTGCATGCTGCAGGCTCTCCATGCTGCTGCTCCCTGGCCCCCTGAGTACCGAGCGGGAGACGGACAGCCCAGGGTGGGTGCTAGGGAAGGAGAGAAGAGGTCAGGCATCCTGGAGGCGGGAACCCGGGGCTGTCAGCCCTGGGACTGAGCCCCGGCCTGCGGGGCCCCAGGATTGTGAGACAAGCAGGGCCGGGTGTGCAGCGCCCGGAGGCAGCCTGAGGGTGTTGGAGCAGCTGGGAGGTCAGGTGCTGACCGAGCAGACCTCCCATCAGCCTCCGGAGGGAGTGGCGGCGGGGGGAAGCAGAGGGCTCCCGGCTCGAGGAGGTGGTAGGGGTGGGAGACCAGTGAGGCCTCAGCAGGAGTCCGACTGACCCTCAGAGGCGTCCGGACACAGCAGAGAGAACGGGGTGTGTGTGTAGGGGGGGGGTCCCACTCGGCCAAATCTAAAAACCTGAAAGCTCTTCCTGCCGCAGAGCAGGAAGCATCCTTGTGAGTGCAGAGCCCAGGGCCGTACCCCAGCCTCCCCTGGTGCTCCCTGCCCTGTGTCCCTGAGAACGTCTGTCCGGCCGGAATGTGGGCTGAGGGCCTGTACCCGCTGGCACGCCCTCTAGGGGAGCAGAGTGTGAACTGCACACAGAGGTCCGGCTCCCCCGGATGGCCAGAGCCGGCACAGCCCGGTGTAGAGTCGGGATGCCCCAGGCTGTCAGGTCGTGGGAAACAAGGAGACTGCAGGCCTGTCCCGCAGGAGAGGACCGGATGCGAGGCGGGATCCCGGACAGAAAGAGGACGGCAGCGTCCCGCCCCGGCTGCTCAGCGGTGACGCCGGAGGCCGGTCAGGGCTCCACTCGAGTTCTCTGGACTGTCTTGGCAACCTGTCTGCAAATCTGAAATCATTCTAAAATAAAAGGTTTATTCAAAAAATAAAAGGCAGAGTGACCTTCAAAACAGCACTGGATGTCACGTTACTTTCCTGGGGCGGCTAGAACCCCGGAGAAACCTGCTCGCTCGTGTTTCTGGAGGACGCCCACCCTCCCTCCGAAGGCTCTGGGGAGGGTCCTTCCTCCTCCGCCAGCTCGGGGGCTGCAGGGGCTCCGGAGGCTCCTTGGCTTGTGGCTGCATCACTCCAACCACTGCCTCTCTCTCCACGCAGCCTTCTCTCCTCTCCCGATTGTCTGTTAAACGTCATTTAATTACGTCGGCAAAGGCTCTTTTTCCAAATAAAGCCACACTCACAGGTTCCAGAGGTAAAGGACCACCCTTCAGCCCGCCAAAGCTGTCAGGGCTCACACCATCAGACAGCTGAAGAGAGACTCAGTAAGCTAAAAGCTGTGAAGAAATTACCCAGAAGCAGCAAAAACCAGATGGCAACCATGGCAACTAGGTTTTTAAGGATGACCTGGTCTAGCTGGATTCTAATAGGAGACGGGTGGGGAGACAATACGAGGGACATCATGCTGAGAATTTTCCAGAAAGTGGCAGGACATCCATCGTAAGCAGGATGAGCGGAAAGGAAGAGACGGCCTGTGACACAGACCAACAACGGATGCTAGATGACTATGGAGTCAAGTGTCACCTCAAATGCTAAGACGGAATAACAAGCAACGAGGAATTTCATACACAATTTTAGAAATCATTACTCAAGCCCTGTTCCCAGTGGTTAGAGCTTCTGCCCACACACTGGAGAGTTGTGGGTTCGATTCTCTATCAGGGCACCTACCTGATTCTTGGCTGGGGAACATGTGGGAGGTGGTCAATCCACCCCCCCACCCCTCTTTCCTTCCTTTCACCCTCTGGAAAAAACAACGGAAAAATATCCTCAGGTGAGGATTAACGACAACAAAAAACACACACAAAAAAGAAGTTACTTAAGAGACAAGAAAACACTAAGAAAGTTATATTTCAGAAAACTCTCAAAAAGCAGATCAGCAGAGAAACTGATACATATTTGGATAAACATTTTAATTCCCTAATTTGAGAGAGATAAAATAATTAGAACTTGCCCTAACCAGTTTGGCTCAGTGGATAGAGCATTGGCCTGAGGACTGAATGGTCCCAGGTTTGATTCCGGTCAAGGGCATGTATCTTGGTTGCGGGCACATCCCCAGTAGGAGGTGTTGCAGGAGGCAGCTGATCGATGTTTCTCTCATCGATGTTTCTAACTCTCTATCCCTCCCTTCCTCTGTAAAAAATCAATAAGATATATTTAAAATAATTAGAACTAAAATATTAAATATCAGACCAGGATTGGGGGTTTTGCATTTTACAAGAAGGTGGGGATTACCTTTCAGCTGAGTTAGGTACTTACGTTAACACTATCAGAGTTAACAAAAAGCAGGTACAAAAGAAATGCAAAAAAGAAAGGCTAGAAAAGGCTGCACAAATAATGCAACAGAGGAGGGTAGAACCTCAAATATTAGGCCTCCAAATAAACACATGAAAAATCATGACAGTTAAGAGATTGGCCTTAAAATATATATACTGTTGCCCTAACTGGTTTGGCTTAATCACTAAGCCAAAATGGTTAGGGCATCAGCCTGCGGACTGAAGGTCCCAGTTTTTATTCTGTTCAGGGGCACATGCTTGGGTTTTGGCCTCTTCCCCAAACAGGAGCATGCAGGAGGCAGCCAATAAATGATTCTCTCTCATCATTGATGTTTCTATCTCTCTCTCTCCCTCTCCTTTCCTCTCTGAAATCAAATATATATATGTGTGTGTGTGTGTGTGTGTGTGTGTGTATATATATATATATATATATATATATATATATATATATATATACATACATACTATTAAAAGTTAAAAGAGCCGAAACCGGTTTGGCCCAGTGGATAGAGCGTCAGCTTGGGGACTGAAGGGTCCCGGGTTTGATTCCGGTCAAGGGCATGTACCTTGGTTGCGGGCACATCCCCAGTAGGGGGTGTGCAAGAGGCAGCTGATCGATGACTCTCTCTTATTGATGTTTCTAACTCTCTATCTCTCTCCCTCTTTGTACAAAAACAATAAAATATATTTAAATAAATAAATAAATAAATAAAAGTTAAAAGACTTCAAGGTACATAAAAGTTGCAAGTGAAAAAGGACAAGAAGAGAAATTTGGGTGTGATTCTTGATCTGGAATGTTCCACATGACAGTCCTGAACCTTGGGGTGATGGGATCCCGAGAGGTGCAGTCCATGCTTTGTGCTCCTCACCCAGCAGCTCGAAGCAGGTGAACAGATGTTGGTGTTCCTTCTTAACCCTGGCACATTTCTCAGAATTGGCCTCAGCGAGCCACAGAGCAATTGCTTAGAAACCAGGATCATACCGATAAACAAAATAAACAGGATCACATACAAACAAAAACTCAGGTTTAAAAACAGTAAGACCCTGACAACTGAGAATCACTTTGAAGTAACGCAGGGAACAAACCTTATGGCAATTGAGCAGCACTGATCCCTTCCTCTGCCAGCCCCTTCCTCTCTCCACTCCTCCCGCCCTCCGTTCTCTCTCCCGATTCACTCCCTCCCGCACCGATTCAGCCTCCTGCCCCCCCTCCCCATGCCCTGGTCATAATCTGGCACCTTGGTCTGAAGGGCATCATCCTCAGGGCGGCCGGGACTGCCATCCACCAAGGCCCTCGCCCCATCCAGGGTGTGGACCTACAGCTGACACCTGGCTGCTTTGTCCATCCAGTTCTCCAGCTCTGCCCCCGCCACGCCCGATGAGCTGGGACTTGTGTGTGGCTCTCTCTGCTGCACCAATAATGGGCCAGAGGGTCCTTGGTGATGCCCACACCGTGCCAGCATGCCTGTTCTTCCTTGGTTCTCCCTTATCCTCAACTGTCACCTGCCATCACCATCATCCCTGCTGACAAGCTGGCCTGCGTTCCCCCAGGAAGCAGGAGTGGCTGGACAAGAGCCACCGTGCACCGCTGGCTGCTTCAATGCCTGCTCCATCTCTCTCCAAGGCCCCTACCAGGGCCGGGACGCCCAGCCTCTTGCTGTTCAGGACACTCTGACTCAGGAGAGAGGCCTTCCTTCTCCAGCCTCTGCACCAGCGCCCACCAGCCTCCCTTGCAGCAGAGCCCTCCATTCCCACACCCACTCACTCCCTGAGACGCCTGTGTGGCTCCACCAAGGCCTTCTGGGTGCTAAATCCAGGGTCACCTCTCTCCTCCTCCTCCTACTCCTCCTCCTCTTTCTTCTCCTCCTCCTCCTCTTCCTCCTCCTCTTCCTCCTCCTCCTCCTCTTCCTCCTCCTCCTCCTCCTCCTCTTCCTCCTCTTCTTCCTCCTCCTCCTCCTCTTCCTCCTCCTCTTCCTCCTCCTCTTCCTTCTTCTTTTTAAAGCTTTATTGAGACAGAATTCACACACCATACAATTTGCCATTCACCCTGTATAATTAAATGGTTTAGCCCTTCGCGGAGTTGTGCAACCATTACCACAGCCAGTTTTAGAACATTTTCATCGCCCCAAAGAAGCCTTACGCTGATCCCAGGACCCCCTTCAGTATGCGTCAGTCTACTCTGCTTTTTTTAAAATTAAGAATTAGTATTTATTGAACAAGAAACAACAGATCTTGAAAACAAATATGATGGATGACATTTTAAACCTGCACCAGAAATAATGGGGACAAGAGCAAATTGTTAATATGATATTGAGTGGACTTCTCCAAAATTAGGTAAAATGTTCAGGATGTATGAACTGAAAGTTAACATGTGATAAATGCAGAAATTCCAACATGTGACCAGTTGGTTGAGAGCAGAAAATAGAGCGGAGGGGAAATAATAATGAATGCTACAGACTTTACTTTCTTTTTTAATATATTTTATTGTTTTTTTTTACAGAGAGGAGGGGAGAGGGAGAGAGAGTTAGAAACATTGATGAGAGAGAAACATCGATCAGCTGTTTCCTGCATACCCCCCACTGGGGATATGCCTGCAATCAAGGAACATGCCCTTGACCGGAATTGAACCCGGGACTTTACAGTCTGTAGGCCGACACTATCCACTGAGCCAAACCAGTTAAAGCTACACACTTTTCTTAAAAAAAAAAAAAAATATATATATATATATATATATATATATACACACATATATATATGTGTATGTATGTATATTATTGATTTCAGAAAGGCAGGGAGAGGGAGAGAGAGATACAAACATCAATGATGAGAGTCATTGATCGGCTGCCTCCTATACGCCCCTATTGGAGATCGAACCCACAACCCAGGCATGTGCCCTGACAGGGAATTGAATCGTGACCTCCTGGTTCATAGGTTAATGCTCAACCACTGAGCCACACTGGCCGGGCCCCACTTTTCAATGGCAGAACAGTTCCTAAACATGAGACTGTACTTGCTACTCAATCTGGCGCTAAAGTTTTAAGTATTGTTTCAAGTCACCAAAATGTGTCAGGCGAGTCTTTCTGCTCAGGCCTGCCCGCGGGGCGCGGTGCAGAGCGCGGGAAGGGAGCCGTCACTGCGCCTGGACTGGCTGCGGGGGAGGGTTCACGGAGCAGACAGATTGAGCAGGCCGGCGGCACCGAGCCTGTGGTTCCCCAGGCAGCCATGGGGCTGCTGCTTCTGCAACATGGGAGTCTTCACCACTGGCTGCACCAGGAAAGCCACTGGGAGATCCCAGTCAGAGCAAACAGACCAGCAGGGTGGGTGTCCCACGGTGTAAGCTGCTGATGAGACACCGGGGGAATCTGTCACGCAGATCGATCGAGAGCTGGCCACTGGACTCCGAGGCCAAGAAAGGAGCCCCTGTTGGTTAGCGCACACCGCTGTGGTCCCTGGGCCCGTGGCCGGCACGCTGGCAGGCAGAAGCCGGTCTCCGTTCCTGCTGGATCTGGAGCTTTATGGGGGTGGAAGTTCCTTTCTTCACAAGAGAAACTTGTTAAATTCAGTCACGGGCCTGGGCTTCCGGCTCTGCAGAAGCACGTTTTTCTCCTCTTCGGCGGGCATGGAGGGAAGGTTTAGGTAAACATCCATCTCTTCTGTGTCTCTTTGGCCAACACACAGCCCAAATAAGAGGAGGGAAAGGAATTCAGGGCTCATGCTGATGCTGACACTTGACCCAAGGCCCCGGCTTCAGGAGGGGTTTTAAACCTCAGGAGGAAGGAAAGCTTGATGTGGGTGGTGGCATCTTTGCTCTGCTCTTTTGGAAAAAAAAAAATTATGATTCTATTAGAGCCAAACTGATGACATATGCCAGGAAGCAAGTTATCCAGTGTCCTCTGCTCCCCATCCTTGATGTGCTTCACTCCACCTCTTGCTTCCTGCCTGGTCTCTGGCCACTCCCTCCCCAAAAGCCCCTTCGCTTAACCCACCCCAACTTCCGAGTTCCTCTGCCGGCTCCCAGGGTGCCCGGGAGCCCCATTCTGTGTCCAGTGTCTGCCTGTCCGTCCTTTACCAGCAGAAGGGGGTTCTTCTAAAATTTCCCAAATCTGCTGGGACCAGTTTGGCTCAGTGGATAGAGCGTCGGCCTGTGGACTGAAAGGTCCCGGGTTCGATCCCTGTCAAGGGCATGCCCAGTAGGGGGTGTGCAAGAGGCAGCTGATCCATGATTCTCTCTCATCGATGTTTCTAACTCTCTGTCCCTCTCAATTCCTCTCTGTGTAAAATCAATAAAATATATTTTAAAAAAAATTTCCCAAATCAACCCCAGGTCCACGACCTCTCCAGAACGAACGTTGGTCCATCACCGGTGAGGGCAACTCGGGGAAAACCTGGGAAGCTCCAGGAAGCCCCTGGCTCCCCTTTCCTCCTGATTCTCCAGGAAACACCCAGGATGCATCGCAGTGACTGGCTGTGCTCATGCCCCACCTCCCTCCCTCGCCTGTCTCTTTCCCCAGGGTGTGCTGAAGCTGGAAAGTCTAACTCTGATACCTACTCAGGCAAGGACCCCTCCCCTCCAAAAAAATACATTGTTTTTGATGAAGGAGGGAGGGGCACTTGTGCATAAAACAATCCAGAATCACCAGGAAAGCTCTGGTAAAACGCATGGGGCAGAGGCATTAAACGTACTATCGCCCTACCCAGTTCGGCTCAGTGGATAGAGTGTCGGCCAGCGAACTTGAAAGGACCCAGGTTCGATTCCAGTCAAGGCCACACGCCCTGGTTGTGGGCTTGATCCCCAGCAGGGAGCGTGCAGGAGGCAGCCAATCAATGATTCTCTCTCATCATTGATGCTTCTCTCACTCCCTGTCTTTTCCTCTCTGAAACCAATAAAAGTGTTTTTTTTTAAGTGCTATAAAAGTACAGGCATTAAAAATGTGGGGGAACACAGCCAAATCATCACCCTTGAGGTCACCAGGAGGGAAGGAAGGACTGTTGGAACACGGTGGGACACTGGGTGACCATCTGGAGATTATCTCACATCAGTTCCCAGGCAAACGCCAGTGGCTCAAAGACGTGGACGTAGAAGTGGAAACAGTGAACTCCGACCCGAGTCAGAAACGGACACTGTCATCTGGCAACTGGACTGTGTGTTGGAAGAGTCCAGAAGCCAGGAACCACCTGCGTGTCTAAAGGACGACAGGCAAAACCGGAAAACGACAGGCACACGGAGACCCATGTAGGCCTTATCTCTGACCTCACAGATAAAAAGCTCCTGCTGGCTCAGCGAGAGAAAGGGCAGTGACCGCAGGAAAAGCAGTGAGGACAGGGTGGGTGCCCCCAGGAAGGGACGGCCAGTGGCTCCCGCCCGAGGGAAGGAAGGATTAAAGGGACCAAAGCTACCATCTCCAGGAAAGTCTTCGTTCTTATGGAAAAGAGTGTCTGCTAGTGCCTATAAGATTATATCCCGGGATGTCTAGATCATGAGAACATATTATTGGTTCAAAAAATGTAATACGTTCAGCTGGTGTGGCTCAGGGTTGAACGTTGACCTATGAACCAGGAGGTCATAGTTTAGTTCCCGGTCAGGGCACATGCCTAGGGTTGTGGGCTCTATCCCCAGTAGAGGGCATGCAAGAGGCAGCTGATCAATGACTCTCATCACTGATGTTTCTCTCTCCCTCTCCCTTCCTCTCTGAAATAAAAAATAAAAACATGGAATGAAAATAAGGGCCGCAGCAGTGTAGACAGATGGTGGATGGAGAGGGACAGGGCAGGGAAGCCTGTCCAGTGGGGCTATGAGCCAGCCAGCGCCGCTGGAGCAGGCAAGCCTGCTTGGAGGGTGGCTGAGGCCTCCGCAGGCCTGCGTTTCGGAGGGGAGGAGGATGGAGAGCAGTGCTGATCTGGGTCGAGGAGGTGGGAGCATGTCAGGCAGAGGGAGTAGGTGGGACTTGCTCTCTTGTAGAGGCCAGGGCCTGGGGTGGGAAGGAAAGGGGAGGAGCCAGACAAGGAGCTGGGCTGAGAAAGGGGATGTGGACGGCCAGGCGGGTGGGCCAGGGAGTAGGGGGGAGCGTGGGGTCCTAGGCTAACCTGGCGGGTTTTGGCCCCCAGGAAGCCGCTGAGGAACGGTTTGGTGAAGGATAAGCTCTTCTGAACCCTTCGACGCCTATCCCGCTCCCCCGGACCTCCCCCTGCCCCACCCTGCCCCCTGGGACAGCTCCCCGGCTCCCCAAGACCCTGGCTCCCTCCAGCTCCGCCCCTCCCGGGCCTGGGCCACTCCCGGGACCCCGCCCAGGATCGGCTCCCGCCCGGAGTCAGTGCCTCGGCCACGCCCCCGGGACCCTGACCCAGCCCAGCCCGGACCCCAGCACTCACTCCTCCGGCGCTGCCAGCGAGGAAGATGCCGCCGTTGCTCCGCCGTCCCGACCTCCGCATCCTCCTCCTCCTCCTTCTCCTCCTCCTCGCCCTGCTGCTGCCCCGGCCGGTCCCGGCCCGCCGCCCCGCGGCCCCGCGCCCCGCCGCCTCTCTGCTCCAGGCTCTCGGGCTGCACGACTCGCCCCGGGGCGCCCCAAAGTCCCGGTCCGTGCCCCCCATCATGTGGCGCCTGTTTCGTCGCCGGGACCCCCAGGAGGCCGGGCTCAGCTCACGACGGACGCCCCCGGGGGCCACCGCACGACCGTGTCGCGTGGAGGAGCTGGGGGTCGCCGGGAACATCGTGCGCCACGTCCCGGGCCGCGGTGAGTGGTGCCGGCTCCGGGGGCGCGGGTCTGGGAGGGCGATCACTCCTCGGGCACCCCAGCCCCCCACGAGCCTCCAGTGACTTCGAGGGTCTCCACCCACCCAGTCCAGCCCCACGAGCATCCTGAACCCCTGTGCTCCATCCCTCTCCCGTGGACACCTGCGGGGACCCGGTGAGTGGCCACAGGGCCAGGCTGCCCTGCACCCGGCAAGGCCTTAGCTCGCGGCTGAAGCCCTGCCCCCACTCTCCCTCCCTCCCGCCGCTTCTCAGCATCTGAAGCCTTCCTGCGGGTGACACCCCGCCCCGTCACCCGGGCGTTTGCTCACCTCTGCCCCCTGCCTGCGTTCCCTGCATTGGGCAGGCCTCTTCCCTGCTGGCGATGCCCGCCCACACCCCATCTCCCCTCCTTCACACCCTTTGATGCCAAGTAACAGATGGTGCGCCCTCAGCCTCCGGCACTAACCTTCCCCCCAAGTTCCCACCGAGACCCAGAGAGCTGAGCCCTCTCCCGGCCCCATAGGTGCCCGCGCCCGGACCGCGGAGCCCTCGGCGCCAGAGCGGTGTCCGACGTGGACTCTCCTCTTCGACCTGTCGTCTGTGGAGCCGGCCGAGCTCCCGAGCAGAGCCCGCCTGGAGCTGCGCTTCGCGGGGGAGGGAGCGGCGGCGGAGACGGACGGCGGCTGGGAGCTGAGCGTGGCGCAGGCCGGGGACGTGGGCGCGGGCCCGGCGCCGCTCCGCCAGGCCGTGGCCTCCCTGCGGGCACCGGTGCGCGCCGAGCTGCTGGGCGCCGCCTGGGCCCACAACGCCTCGGTGCCGCGCAGCCTCCGCCTGGTGCTGGCGCTGCGCCCCCAGGCCGCGGGCCCCTGCGGGCACCTGGCTGAGGCCTCGCTGTTGTTGGTGACCCTGGACCCGCGCCTGTGCCACCCTTTAGCCCGGCCGCGGCGCGAGGCCCAGCCCTCAGCGGGTGGCAGCCACGGCGGCTCCTGTCGCGCCAGGCGGCTCTACGTAAGCTTCCGCGAGGTGGGCTGGCATCACTGGGTCATCGCGCCGCGCGGCTTCCTGGCCAACTACTGCCAGGGCCAGTGCTCGCTGCCCGCCACGCTGCCCGGGCCCGGGGGGCCGCCCGTGCTCAACCACGCCGTGCTGCGCGCGCTCATGCACTCGGCAGCCCCCGGGCCCGCCGGCCTGCCCTGCTGTGTTCCCGCGCGCCTGTCACCCATCTCCGTGCTCTTCTTCGACAACAGCGACAACGTGGTGCTGCGGCACTACGAGGACATGGTGGTGGATGAGTGCGGCTGCCGCTGACAGCAGACAGGAGCGGGGACACAATAAACACTGGGTGGATTGAGCTGCCGTCTTTGGGTCTCGTCACCTGGGGCTGGGGAGTGCCGAGACACCCATCAGGTTGGTGGGGTTAGGGTGGTCTGGAGCCACCGGCCCTCTTAGAAGGCTGTTATAGGGGGACCCTGGGAGGGTCCCCCCACCCCCCGCAGGCACAGGCACAGGCACAGGGGCAGAGGTGCTTTGCAGTCCACTGACCCAGCCCTTCTTAGCTTTGCCTTTCAGATTGCAGGACCCCAGACCAAGTGCTCTCCCACCCGCTGAAGCTTATCCAGCTCTGTGACACAAGCAAGAGTTGTTTTTAACATTTTATTGGTGACAAAAGAGCTTAAAACAAATTGACCAAAAATCAGAAGTGACATTGCCTTGGTACAAGATGCTCCTTGATTTGGAAAACTCAGAGTAACTGCTGCTAGAAGGTGAACAAAAGCCAACAGCACGGAGCGAGGTAGAGCACTCCAAAGAAGGAACAGGGCAGTGCGAGGGCACACGGGTCACAGCAGAAGCCTATCCAAGCGCAATGCCTCTAGGTGGCCTACCAGAAGCCCTACAGCAATGGGGTAAGAGGCCTTGCCAGAAGGAAGGTGCCTGTGTGTCCCCGTTCCTCCGTGTACCAGATGGCATCTGGAGGCTTTGGGATAAGGGCCAGTGTCAGACGCACGGGGAAGGGGTGCTGGGGGCCGTGGTCGCTAGGACCAAGGGTAAGCAGGAAAGTTTTCAACTTGGTGGTCACCAGGATGATGAACACCTACCCCACAGGGGACCTTTCCCAACCACAAGAACTTCCACAATGCAGATCCAGGTTGGTGCCCATTTGTACGGCTGAAGTGACACACTCCCCCAAGCACCTTCAGCACGGAACCAACTTATTTCTGGAACTTCTTTTCCCAAATAAAGTGAAAATCACCCCAACTCATTGAAGCTATGCTCACAGGTAGAAGGGCTCAAGATTAGGGAGCGGGGTGAAGAGGGTGGGGGCAGGCTCTCGCTTGTCTGATGGCCACGGGGCCTGTGGGCAGCGCCCCGGGAAGCCGCTGGGTCAGGATCGACGGCCTCCCCGCCCTCCAGCCTCGGGCTGGCTCCACTGGGCCTCCGGGGACCGAGCCCACTGCGTGAGAAGAGCCTCGCTCCTCCGAGTCCAGCGGAGCTTGTGGGCCCAGTGATGGTCTCACTGCCCTGACGCAGGGAGAAGCTGCTGGAAGCTAAACTGAAAACAAAAATCGTCCTCTCCATGATCGCGTCACAGGTGTTCATCCTAACCTCGTTGAATGGCTCGTCTAAACTTCGTTTCTGGAAGCTTCTTGCATCTCCCAGGTCCACCACTAAGATTTGAGAGACAAACTCAGGAAAGTATTTTTCAGTACTCCTTTGAAAGAATCTTTAAAAACAAACAGAAAACCCCAAACACCACATTTTCTTTAAATGAAAACCCTCTTAGAACACGGGCAGCGTGACTGCAAGGTCTCGGTGTGGACAGAACACATGCCCCAGCGGGGCTCTCGGCTCGGCTGCACGGAGCCTGTTCAGCACAGAAACGTGAGTTGTTCCTGGTAAAACGTAGTCCCCTTTCAATAAAAGAGAAAAAGAAAGAAAGAACAGAGGAAAGGGCTACTCTGAGATGAGGGTCTTCCTCCCTCCTCCTGGTCGCAGACCCAGGTGTAGACGGGCGAGCTGGGCCTCCTTGGCGAGCTGGCTGCAGGGCGCTCGGGCTGGCCGGCCCCACCTCCGCTCTCCCTCTGTCTCCTCGCCGCAGTGCCAGCAGTGGGCGCTCACTATCTCGGGCTGCTCTCCCTCGGGTGCTCCTCTCCCTCTCCTGTTGCTCACAGTGGTGCTTCAGTTTTAGCAGTGGAAAACAGGTATCCATTTATTTTTATTTTTTATTACCCAGAATAAGATGCTGATGGACTAAGCCACAAAGCTTAGCTCTTCCGCTGCCACCTATAGAGAGAGAGGGAGAGGGCACAGACTATCAGAGAAGGTAGGAGCCCAACCATGCCTGGAAGGCAAGGTGCTTTCTCCCTACTTCCACTAAGCACCCATGTTCTCACCTATAAAATGGGACCTCACATGCTAGACAGCCCTCAGACACTGACTTTCCACCAGAGACAGAGACCATCAAAAGCTAAGGCGACAGCCTGTGCCATAAGAGGGCCCCCCTTCTCCCAGCAGTGCCAGCACACAACTCCGCTTGGCACACTGACAGCCCTACAGCAATGGGTACGAGGCCTTGCCAGAAGGAAGGTGCCTTGGAACTACAGACATGACTCACAGGCCCCTTCTGCAGAAGTTCCGTGCCCACCTAGTGCCAGGACCCGTCACCCTCACAAGCTGCCAGTCAGGGAAAGGTTATCCTCCTCCCTGCCTGCCCAGGGGACTATGGGCCTCCACAGTCGGCCTCTCAGGAGAGGACTAACACAGGGGGAGGTGCAGGGACCTGAAGTGACAGGTCACAATGATGAGGCAGCCCCTCCTGGACTTGAGACTCCCACATTCTGACAGTCCAGGCCGGGGAAGCCCTGCTCCAGGGTGGCTTGCCTTCTAGTACTGCGACAGCCCCGTCACTCCACCATGCTGGTACGCCCGCTCTCCCTGGTACGTGGAATCTTGCGACAGCGCCACATCAATTTGGGACTTAAATTCATCACCAAGGTAACTGTCCTGAAAGACACAATTGGGGAGATGAGCAGCCAGAGAACTGGCTCATGTCCTTGCAACTTTGAGAATCTGCTGTGTGTTCAGCCCTTCCCAAGCCCAGAGAAGAGTCTGAAAAAGGAGCCCTGAAACCTGAGCAGCAGGAGACCCATACTGGTTACCTCACCACTGAGACGGGTGACCTAGGGCTGTCTGAAAGGGCAGCATCGTGGACAGAATGTTCTAAACCCGTACCACCACTGCTGAGGCAGCCATACAGGAGGCCATCCTCCTCCTGAGTCCTTTGGGGAGTGTGTAAAGGGTAAGGGTGTGTATGCGCGTGTATGCATGCATGTGTGTAGGGCACCCTGGGTTTGCCTAACTTCTCTGCAAGTGGGATGTGTCTTAAGTTCAGCGCAGCCAGCTCACCTGGGACAGCTCGGGCTGGGAGAGACCAGGCTGGCTCATCTGGGAGGGTTGGCTCATGGAGATGTAGCCCTGTGTCAGGGCCCCCTGAGAGAAGGGCTGTGATGCCACATCCTGGCTGGCCTGGCTGCTGGGCAGGTTCGTCTGGCTGGGCCCAGGAAGGCCAAAGCGGTTCTTCTGGCGTCCACCACGGCCCGTCTTGCCTTTTGGGGTGCCTCGGCCTGAAATACAGTGTCCAAGGTTCCGTAAAGGGGTCTAAGCCTAAATGACAAGTGATTTTTGCTCCGAGGCCTGGTGCTTGCTCACCTGCAGCTGGCCCATTAGCTTGTCCAAAATACCCTGGAGGTGGCATGGGTGGCATGACCAGGTTGAAGGGGATGGGAATGTTCATGGCAGCCACATGGCTGGGGCCAGCACTGATCATGCCGAGCTGGTCATGGGTCTGGAAGTACATGTTCGAGGGTCGGCCTGTAAGACAGGGTACATGGCAAGTTCTCCACTGTGTACAGGTGAGTCTACTTCCTACTTCCTTGGAACTACAGACACGACTACTTCCTGTCAGCTACTCTGCCAGCAGTTTTTAGGGTGTCCCCACAGCAAGAACTGCCAGCTGCGGATTCTCACCATCAATCCCCTTCTCAACCTGCTGGGTTGGTGCCTGGGAAACCATCTTTTTTCCTAGGGGATTCTGACAAACAACAGGGACTTGACAAACTGAGAACTACCACTCAATATTTCAAATAAAAATGGTCCTTTCTGTGCCAAAACATATGTTCATACCACACACATCAAAAAGCAAGAGAGCCGAAACCGGTTTGGCTCAGTGGATAGAGTTGTCAGCCTGCGGACTGAAAGGTCCCAGGTTCGATTCCTGTCAAGGACATGTTCCTTGGTTGCGGGCACATCCCCAGTGGGGGGTGTGCAGGAGGCAGCTGATTGATTTTTCTCTCTCTCTCTCTCTCCCTTCATCTCTGTAAAAACATCAATTAAAAAAATTAAAAAATAAAAAACGAGAGAATGCTTAAGCTCCACAGAAATTTGCTGGATGTGGTGATGAAAGATTGTTGTTGTTAGAGAACACGATCTCCAATCTGAACCCAGAGGTCAGGCAAATACAGGGTCAAAAAAAGGGGGCTGCCGAGAAAATGTGAGAAGAGCCGGGGTACCTACTCTTAGGATGAGTACCGAGCACAGGAGGGAACAAAGCCCACAGTAAAAAACGTGGGCAGGTGGCACTGAACTCAGTGACAGGGCTCTGTGTCACCCTCTGTGGTGACTGGGATAGGGAAGGGTCCCAGCAGGCAGGAACCTGGGGATGAAAGGGAACCGTCTACACTGGCTCAGGCAGGAAGAGGTGTTCCAGCCAGCAGAGGTCAGACTCAGCCTTTGGACATGGAGACTCACAGAGGAGATGAGTACATTCTCCCAACTCAGAGCTCTGGCAAAGCAGGAGACTTCAGGAAGGAGACAAAACCTGAAATGAGGTTGCAGGCCACTTGGAAGAGCTGCATGTGTGAATTCCCATTGAAAAGGGGAGCACAGGGCAGGTGCGGTGGGAGCATGGGGCAACCTGGCACAACTGTGTTATTTAAAAATATCTTATTTTTAGAAACTGCCAAAGACCAACACTTTGATCTCAGAGAGAAGCTGAGAAGGAACTCGTTGTCAGGCAGGCTTCTGTGGACAGATGCAGTGCAGGCATGGGAAGGGTCAACATCCTCAGTGCTGGCCCAGGCCCCCACAGAGAGGACTTACCCTGGCTGCTCCGATCGTAGACGGATCCTGGGATGATGGCCTCCCGGGCATCATACATAGCTGTGGTCATGAAGCGGGCTCCCTGCAGAGGGTTTGGGGAGGTGAGAAATCCCACTCCTCTTTCAATAACCCAGCCTTTGATGCTCAACATTCCATCTCTGGCTTCAATTCAAGCAGCCCTGCACCCTCACCCCCCAAGGCACCCTGTTTTCACAAGGTTTCCTAACTGCCTGTGTCTCACTCTTAGATGTCCCCAGGACTTCGGCCGTATCCCCCCAGCCCTCAGGACACTGGTGTGGGGAGCTAGCACGCATTGCTCCTCTTCGCACACTGATATGCACACACTTCCCACAGGCTACATAAGCATTGCTCACTGCCAGATGCCAAAACGGGGGCTTGGAGAAAAAGGGGACCCCATCCCTCCTGACCACCGGCCACAGCTCACAGGGTTGATGGTGTTGACCAGCTTCCGGGGCTTGCTGAACTGCATGAGGCTTTCCCGCAGGTTATTCAGGGGCCCCTCCACCAGCACCTTCTGCTCCTTGTAGTAATTCAGCAGGTGGTTCCACAGGGGCTGCTTGGACAGGGCCTTAGGGTTGCCCACAATGATGACCCCATATCTGCAAGGTGTGGGCGCAAAGAACATGGTGCTTATGGCCTCATAGCAAATACCACGTAGAACAGTATGAGGCCAAACAAATTCAAAACCCGAGTTCAAAGTCACTGAGGGCCACCCTCAGCCTCCCTGCCTAGATGCCTGGCACTGGAGCCCACACTACAAGCTGTTAACACTGCACTGAGTGTATGTGGGAGTGCATTTCTAAGGGCTCAGATGACAAACCCGGCTGGCAGGTTAGCTCAGAGACCAGTTTCCTTGTTGTAGCCTCAAGTCGGCCTCCTAAGATGCCTCAGGGAACCTGACAAGGCATGTAACCTGATCCCTAGCTTCTGTGGACACTTACCCTCACCCAGCTGTGTTAGGGACACGTCCCCATGCTGGCCACCGAACCATGGTGTACAACAGAAAGGGGTAAACACGGGTGATGTAGGAACATGAGCCTGACCTCAGCTGGCACAGGGGCAGCACGAGAGCCACCTTGTTCTCCAAGTCTCTTCTTCTGTCACCGTTAGTTCAGAGCAGTTACATACCAGAACCAGAAAGGAGTCAGGGCCAAAACGTTAGAGTCATAGTTCAGCAACTCGACAGGGACACATGCCTGGCACTGGCTTTGTCCATGAGACTGAGACCACAGAAAACCACCAGGACACAGAACAAAGTACTTGCAGGTGAGCCCTCCTTTCTAAGTTGTTCTGTAGTCCTTGGACCTCAGGAATTGGCGAAGCCCCCATCCCAGGCCCTGTACTGCCAGCCCAAGGTGTGGCTGGGGTGCGAGGACTGTTATCAGGAGGACCAGGAAGTGAGAGGCCTCCCAAAGTCACACCCGGAGTAAAAGTCTGAAGGACCCTGAGACAGGAAGGTGGCAACTGCCACCTACAAGCACAGACAGAATTCAACATTGTACCTGGCTCGGGTCAGGGCCACGTTAAGCCGCCTGGGGTCATTTAAAAACCCGATGCCTTGGTGCTCGTTGGCTCGCACACAGGAAAGGATGATGAAGTCCTTCTCACGGCCCTGGAATGCATCCACACTGGCAATCTCCACCTCCTGCAGGGACACAGGGTCATGGTCAGTCAGCAGGCTGCCCTCAAGGCCCCGTAGGCAACATGAAGCATGTCCAAATGCACCACTGAACCCCTGGTCCCAGGCCCTGCTCGCCTGGCCTTCCTGCTCTGTCTCTTTATTTTCGGTAACCTGTTTCCCAATAATAAAAGCATACTTGCTCATAACACCCAAGACTATTCCCAAGTTAACAGGGTGCCCTACACACACGCATGCCACATGAAAAAATAATTGTTGTTGTCCTGCACCTTCATGATATACACTTAAGACATTTTACCCAGGTATTTACCAGAAAGTGGACAGCATTCTCATGGATAAGAAACTACAAAGTAACACACACCACACCCCTAATGGTCAACCCTGGAGCCTTTTCAAGTTATGCTCTGAAAAGTATCCTGAGAAAAACAACTTTATGAACCTTGCCTCACACTTGTAACTCTGAAAGACAGTCTTGATTTGCAGGACTCAGCAGAAAGGTTAACATTCCAATGCAAACCTCCCTGGCCAGGTGATCAAGGTCAGAGTGGCAGAGGCAAATGGAGCTCGCACCTGGTACAGCTTGGTGTGCAGGGAGCCGCTGAACTGCATGTACTGCACCAGGTAGGAGCGCTGGCCCTCATAGGGTGTGATGATGCCAATCTGGTCCGGCTTGGCTCCTGCCTTCAGCAGCTTTGTGGTGATCTTCTCAACATTTGCAGCCTCCGTCCTAAGGAAAGCAGGCATTCAGTTCCCTGGGCTGCACCTGTGGACCCCTGAGACCAGAGGCTACGGGAGGTCAGGGGCAGCTATGCCCCCGTGGGGCCATCCTGTCCTGGACCAAGAGAGTCAGAGAGGACAGAAAAAGCTCACCACACATACATACAAAAACAATCTGCTCAACATAAAACAACATGCTGAAAAGCAAAATGAGAACATGCTGTGGCCTGAGAAACCTGAACAGAACAGAGTGAGGAGGGCAGTTTCAGACCAGCATTACATAGATTAATTAAGAGTTGGCCAAGCTGCCACTGAAGCCATACCTGTTCAGGTAGGAGGTACCCGAACTGGCGATCTCCTCCTGGCCCTGGGTCACATAGAAGAACATCGGCTTATCAGGTTGGGGCCACTGGAAGTCAAACCCCTTCTTCACTCGATCCGCTGTCATTGGGGAGGGAAAAGAGAACACCTCCAATCAGAGAAGAAAAACAGCCAGAAGCCATCCCAAGGATCCCCTGCCCAAGAGGCAAGGACTGAGTGAAGCCGTGCACAGGACACTCGACAAGGAGCTGCTCATTCCCTGAACAGGTCTTACTGATTAGTGCTTCAACAGCTAATTTACCAAACCTCTGCTCATGCCCATGAAGATGTTCTATTTCCTTCTAGAGCTTTACTACTGCCCTCACAGGACTCAAAAGCCTCTCCAATCGGCTTTTGTGGATGACGCTATTGAGCAAGCTCTCCTGTCAGAGCATGTCTACCCAGCAAATCCGTGTGAGGAAACCAATGTCTCTGCATGACAACAGCCTACCATCGAGACGCAAGTATACATGATGTGATGCCCTTTCACGTCGAGCTAGAAATGAGATCAAGTCTGTCTCTTATCATTCAAGTGAGGACAGAGGACAGCTGGTGAGTGCAGTCACCTTTTAGCCCAGGGTCTGCTGCCAAATGTCTTTCTTTTTAAAGTTTATTTTATTGTTGGTATTACAGATGTCTGTATTTTCCCTTTTGCCTCCCTCCACCCATCACCCAACTGTCCCAGGCCTTCACCTATTGTCTGTATCCATGGGCTATGACTAATTTGTACTTCTAAATCCCTTCACCTTTTTCACCCATACCATTTACCTCCATCTAATCCTGCAACCATCAAAATGTTCTCTGTACCTATGAGCCTACCTCTGTTCTATTTGTTCATTTTGATCTTTGGATTCAATTGCTGATAGATATGTAATGCCAGTTTACTGTTCCTATTTTTCTTTAACACTACCGCCCCCCTTCTTCTTATTAAAGAAGACCCTTTAATATTCCATGTAATACCAGTTTGGTATTAAGTGATGAACACCTTTATATTTTTCTTATCTGTGAAGCTCTTTAGCTCACCTTCAATTCTAAATGACAGTTTTGCTGGGTAGAGTAATCTTGGTTATAGTCCTTGCTGTTCATCACTTTGAATATTTCTTGCCACTTCCTTCTAGCCTGCAAAGTTTCTGTTGAGAAATCAGCTGATAGTCGTATGGGAACCCCCTTAAGGTAACTGCTTTTCTCTTGCTACTTATTAGATCCTCTTTATCTATAACCTTTGGCATTTTAATTAGGATGTGTTTTAGTGTGGGCCTCTTTGGATTCATCTTGTTTGGGATTCTGTGCTTCTTGGACTTGTAAGTCTACTTCTTTCACCAAGCAAGAGACTTTTCTGTCATTTTTTTCAAGTAAGTTTTCAATATTTTGCTCTCTTTGCTCTCCTTCTGGCACCCCCATAATGTGAACGTTGGTATGCTTAAAATTGTCCCAGAGGCTCCTTATATTATCTTCATATTTGTTGGGTTCTTTTCCTTTTTGCTGTTCTGATTGGGTGTTTTTTGCTTCCTTACATTCCAAATTGTTGATTTTATTCTTGGCACCCTCTACTTCACTGTAAATTATTCATTTAGTTTATCTTTCATTTCTGACTGTTCCTTTTTTATGTTGCTTATGTTCTCATAAAGTTCCTTCAAGTTCTAAGTTTCTTAAAGTTCTCAGTAAGTTTTTTAAGCATCTTATAACAATTATTTTGAACTCTGTATCAGGTAGTTTTCTTGCTTCCATTTCATTTAGTGTTTTCTGAAGAATCTCTTTCTGTTCTTTCATTTGAGACAATTGTCTCTGCATTCTGGCTGCTTTCCAGTGTTTGTTTCTATATATCAGGTAGATCAGCTATGTCTTTTGGACTTGGTAGAGAGGCTGTGAGTAGTAGGTGTCCTGTAGGGTCCAGTGACTCAGCCTCTCCAGTTACCTGAGCTGAGCACTCGGCTGTGCCCCTGGGTGAGCTGTGTGCACTGTCTTGCTGTAGCTATGCTATGCCTTGATTGATGTTGGCATCACTGGGAGGGACTGACTCCCATGCCAATTGGTTGTGGGGATCAGCTGTGACTAGAGCTGAAGAGCTGCTGTATAGGAGCCAACCCAAGGAGCAGAACTTGGTTTAGTGGAGCGTTGGTGCTCAGAGTCCACCCCTTTGAGTGTGGTAGGGTTATAAACTGGCATGGTCTGAAGTTGACCATCAGGTGCACAGACTCTGGGGCCTCCCGGGAGGTACAAAGTCAGCCACTGTCTATGCTCTTCTTGGGGCCACCCAGCATGAGCTACAGAGCAATCTGTAGATGGCTGCTACTTTTGTTGGGCTTGAACATGTCCAGGAGAGGCCAACCTCTGTATCAAGGAAAGCTGTTGCTAGTGCTCAGCCTGGGGTCACTTACTGAGAGATATGGGGCACACTCAGGGCAGTTGCTGCTTGAGAAATTTTAAGAAAGTCCAAAGCCTGAGGCAAGAGATGGAAATAGCTTGGATGAGCCTACAAGTAGGGAGGTGTGGGATTTCAGGGAATCACCAGAGTGGGGTGAAAAGTATGAGCCAGGTTGATGGAGATTTAACTATGGTGCTCTGCCTGCTGGCTTGGGGGGGGGGGGGGCGGTTGAAGAGGGAGGAAAGGACTCAGCAAAGAAACAATGGCCTCGCCCTAGCCGGTTTGGTTTAGTGGGTAGAGCGTTGGTCTGCAGACTGAAGGATCCTGGGTTGGATTCCGGTCAAAGGCACATGCGTGGGTTGTGGGCTCAGTCCAACCTGCAGGAGGCAGCCAATCAATGGTTCCCTCTCATCATTCACGTTTCTATCTCTCTCTTCCTCTCTGAAATCAATAAAATTTAAAAAGAAAGAAAGAAAGCCTCTGCCAGCACAACTGTCTGGGAGAACACTGCCCCTCCGGCTCTTGCTCTAATTCTAGACAGATTAGTTTCTCCTCGAATGTCTCAGGTTCCTTTTAAGCAGCTGCCCCAGTGCTGGAACTCAGAGGAGGTGACTCCTGAGAAAGAACCCTTTAAGAGAAACTGCCTGGGCCAGCAGCTGATTCTACAGCTAGGAATTGTGGGGACTTCTCTTCTGGTTCTTGAACCCTTGGCTAGGGGGCCTGGTGTGGGGCTGGGCCCCTCACTCCTCAGGGAAACCTCCATAGCCAAGATATCCATTCTGATTTTATTTTATTCTAAAAATTTTATTGATTTCAGAGAGGAAGAGGGAGATAAAAATGAGAATCACTGATTGGCTGTCTCTTGCACGCCCCCTCCACCTCCACCTCCACTGGGGATCAAGCCAACCGGAATCAAACCTGGGACCCTTCAGTCCACAGCCCTACACTCTAGCCACTGAGCCAAACCAACTAGGACTGGTGACATATTTTATAGCTTTTCCCACAACTGTGGGATTCACTCAATTCTCCACCATAGCTAGACAGATGGTGCTGGGTAGGCCTGTGACAAAAGCCTCTCTCCTCTGCCCTATGCACAAGACAGCCTTTGACCCAAATGACTTTGCAACACCCTCGCTAGCCGTTAGGATGAGAAGTATCTACTGATGCCCCTCACAGTCACTTAAAGTCACCACCTTCATCTCATCAGAAAAACTAGTCAGCACAGGAAACACTTAGCTCATGCTAGGGGACATGAGGATTCTAAAATATTAATTTTTGTTGAATCCTCAGATTTTATCACTAGAGATAAATACTGTTAGTTGTTTTTCTTAAAGTCCTAAGTTTACTTTGTTTTCAGGAAAATAAATACTCCCCTAGCTGAATGACCAGCGAGTCCTTCATTCATCAAGTACCTTGCATACCCACCAGTGTCACAAGGATATGCACTTAGGGTGTTGGTTGCTGTAAGCGGGTGGCACCATCCAGACTCCTGCTGAAATCCCTGCTGGTTCCCAATGCTGCTTTTGAACCATTCGTGCAAGTGTCAGCACAGCAAAGGGCATATGCCAACTTCACTCTGAAAGGAGTCTTGCCTTCCTGTTTATGGACTCCAGGGCATGAGCTCTGATAACTGGCCATCCACACTATAGAGTGAGCATGCTGTACTGCTGACCATGGCACCTCTTGGAGGCACCTCTCACACACAAATGGTTGCTAGTAAAGCCACTCAGGAAGGAAGGGACCGCATGTTTCCATTGACCCCCTGCCAAGTATTACCTGCAGTGACACCGTTCTGCAGAGAGCCCTCGTAGAAGATGTTGGAAGGGAAGGCACTGAGTGCAGGGTGCATCCGATACTGAACTTGCAGGCGGATTGGACGAATGCCGAGCACCACCAGGCGCTCAAACAGTGACTGAGACAGCCCGGCCTTGGCTGCCTTCTTGCACATCACCACGGGGCCCAGCTGGCAGTGGTCACCCACAAGGATCAGCTGTGATGAGAGGCCCACACAGGTGAGAGGTTCAAGCATGAAGCAGCTGGGACATCCACTCTCAGAAGGCTAAGGGGTCCAGGGTCCACATAACCACCAAGTCATGCAAATTCCAGTGGTAAGATACTGACTGGGCGTGGGAAACTGTCCACCACAGACATGAAACACACTCAGACATTCATTCAGGACCCACACAGAAATGCTCTCAAAGATCCCTTAAAGGGCTCACCATGCATCCTTGAGCTCTGTCAGGGTGTCCAGGATGTTTAAAAAAAAAAAAACCCAGCCTTACAGGATGTTAAAAACTACACACAACCTCCAGCATTAAGAATTATACAGAATTGGAACAGGAGAGAATGCACACCAGTTTTCAAACAAGAACTCCATGAAAGGGGTTGGCCCACCTGCTTGGCTCCAAGGACCACAGGGACCATGCACTCTGGCTCCGTGGCCTGGGTGCTCTCGTCGATAAGAATGGAGCGGAACTGCATCTTGGCAAGCCTGGGGTCCCCTGCACCCACACACGTGCAGCAGATGACGTCCGCATTCTGGGGAAGAGATTACGTGAGCATCAGGGGCACCTGCAACAGAACAGGTTACCAGGCGCCAAAGGGCAGGTCGGCAGAACAGAACATACCATTCTGGTCCCTGCCCCCCTGACACCATGAAAACAAGCTCTCTCTCCCTGACAGCATGCACATAAACTTTTGAGATCCTAAGTGGTAGGCCTCACCAGAGAAAACCTCTCAGCACAGACGGCTCAGTGCTTACGCAGCCTCTGGGGAGCAGTGCTGAGCTGTGGAACAGGTGCTGGGCTGGGATCTACTTTTGGTTGATTTGTCATGAAATAACAGATCCACTCAGAGGGTACAGACCAAGACCCCAAGTTCCCAGCAGCAGGGAGGTTTGCAGGCAGTAGAAACTTCTAAATAATCATGTCTGCAGGGTCTCAGGGTACCTAAGCTTTCTCCCAAAAGTAGGCACAACCTAACTGAAGATGCCATCATATGCCCTAAGGCCCAGGACCTCACCATGAGCAACTCCCTTTCAGCTGTGCGCTTCAGGGCTCGGTACCGCTTCTCATCGGCAGATGACAACTCCCCAGTCTCGTCCTTCAGCTGCTGCAGCTTCTGCAGCTCTGGCATGCTGGAAGCACAGGCACAGCAGTGGGCATGGAGGACTTGCACCAGGGCCACACAGAGGAGACACCCCCCGCCCCGCAGCCAGGTACCGGACACCCACCTATCCATGTTCCTGATCTGGTTGTGTAGGGCCAGGAATGACACCGGGGAGTCAATGGCCTCGCGACTCTTAGCACAGAGCCGCACAACTTTGAGCCCAGTCTGGTGGATCTTCTCAGTCAGCTGATCCACAGCTATGTTACTTGGAGCACAGACGAGCACAGGCCTTAAACATAAAGCGAATGAGTATCTCAGTGCTTGCCCAGAGGAGATTAATGAAATGCTATGTACCTAAGACTGTTGTTTTCAATCACAGGCAAGGCAGAGAAATTTAAGACTAAAAGCCAGGAGCCCTAGCTGCTTTGGCTCAGTGGATAGAGCGCTGGCCTACTGACAGAGGGTCCTTGGTTCGATTCTGGTCAAGGGCACATGTTTGGTTGTGGGCTTGAGCCCCAGTAGGGGGCGTGCAAGAGGCAGCTGATCAATGATTCTCTCTCATCATAGATGTTTCTATCTTTCTCTCCCTCTCCATTCCTCTCTGAGATAAAAAAAAAAAAAAAAAAAAAAAAAAAAAAAAAAGGCTAAAGCCAGGAATGGCACAATGCAGGAGCTAAAAGCCCAGCCAGTCTAGGGCTCCCTGTCCCCAATCAATTTTCACTTTACTTATGCAAAGTATTGCTAATAACAGACCTGCACCCTCACCCTCTCCATCTCATGGTGAAGACTTCCCAAGTTGAGGTACAGACAGCACAGCACCACCTGGGTGAACTGACAATACTGCCTTTAAGAGCAGCAGGCTTGCCCTGGCCAATGTGGCTCAGTTAGCTGGGTGTTGTTCCATGTACTAAAAGGTTGCTGGTTCGATTCCTGATCAGGACACGTGCCCAGGTTCGAGGCTCAGTCCCCACTGGGGAACATGTAGGAGGCAGCTGGTCAATAATTCTCATTATTGCCAAAACCGGTTTGGCTCAGTGGTAGAGCGTCGGTCTGCGGACTGAAAGGTCCCGGGTTCGATTCCGGTCAAGGGCATGTACCTTGGTTGCGGGCACATCCCCGGTAGGGGGTGTGCAAGAGGCAGCTGGTCGATGTTTCTCTCTCATCCACGTTTCTAGCTCTCTATCTCTCTCCCTTCCTCTCTGTAAAAAAATCAATAAAATATATTAAAAATAATAATCTCATTATTGATGTTTCTATTTTCTATCTTTTTCTCCCTTCCTCTCTCCAAATTGGAAAATATGTACACACACATACTCATACACACATACACACACACACACACCTATATATAAGTCTTTCTTTTTAAATATATATTTTTCACATTGTTTTTTAATTTCAGAGAGCCAAACAACTGGTGTAGCTCAGTGGTTGAACGCCCACCCATGAACTGGCCATCTCTCTAAAAAAAAAAAAAAATCTTAAAAAAATAAAAAGTAGAGCAACAGGCTGCAGGCTGTCTTATTAAAAGCAACCAGAGGCCTGATCTAATACAAACAATGTAAAACACAGTGAACAGGTAACCCTCCCAAAACATCCCTGCAGTCAGGCCTGCTGATCCATACCCATTGCCCTGCCGTGCCAGGTGGTAGACAATGGTGGCGGAGGTCACTGTCTTCCCTGTTCCTGGCGGCCCCTGTATCAGGCTCAGCGGTCTTTGCAGCACAGTCTTCACAGCGTAAACCTTCAGATACAAGTGGCCATTAGGGGATACAGATGGCCTCAGGGCCCCCCCTTCCCCATATGCAGCAGCTCTTCAGGCCAGGCCCAGCCATTTCCAAGCTGATAAGAACCTGAGAGTGGTTGAGGTCAGGCAGCCCCTGTGCAGTGAAGCGCTTGGGCAGCTGGCACTTGATGATTACATCCTCCACCTCATGGCCAAGCAGCTTATGGTAGATATAGCCTGATACAGAAGTTTCATCGACCGCAAAAGTCTTCAGTGCACTCTGCATTCTGTGGCGAAATAACAGGTTGTTAATGCTCATGTAGGCTGGTGGTAAGCCCACCCCCAGGAAAGGAGAATCACCTAGAGCTGGGGGACAGACGCACCTGTCAAATGAGGTGGACTTCCACACAAAATCCACCTGGAAGTTATGGGTCACCTCCACAGGTGCACCCACACTGCTCCGCAGCTCAATGGCAATCTCATCGCCATAATCTGCAATGCCGAGTTAAGGTTCATCTTTGTCATAAACTGGGTTTACCTTTCTGAGGAGCTCTGATTTGGTTACTGAAGAGACATGTCCCTCCCATTAGCCAAAAGGTGACAACACAGCCAGGAAGACCCATGTTCTGACAGATTCTGTCCAGTGTCCCAGTCCCCTGCAACTTCTCCCCACCCAAGCTACCCCGTGACCCTTGGGGTGTCATCCAGGATGACAGTTTGGATTGGCGACATCTAGAATCCAGGTTCTGACTGTGAGCTTCAGAGATGAGGTGAACATCTCAAACCATCCTGGCTCCAGGTAAAGCAGTGCTTCTAGTAGTTTTATATAAACATGTGCCCTCAGCCCCAACTGGTTTGGCTCAGTGGATAGAGCATCGGCCTGCAGACTGAAGGGTCCTAGGTTCGATTCCGGTCAGGGGCATATACCTTAGTTGTGGGCAGATCCCCAGTGGGGGGTGTGCAGGAGGCAGCTGATCGACGTCTCTCTTTCATCGATGTTTCTGGCTCTCTATCCCTCTCCCTTCCTCTCTGTAAAAAGTCATTAAAATATATATATTTTTTAAAAAAGTGTGCCCTCAGAGTTCAAATGAAGGGCTCAGTGGCTTAAAACAAACTTGACTCAAAGGGTGTCTCCAGCCATGGCCATACTCTCCACCCAAGGCCCCAGGACTGGTCTGCACAGTGACCAACGTACAGAACCCCGAGCTAGCTCTTCGTCACACAAAGGATACTATCAGGGACCTTGATGACGTGGCCAATCCCTTTCCACAGGGGCGCCAGGTCCCCTTTGTACCGCAGGCATATCTCATCGCCTTGCATGAGCCGCATATCTTCCAGGAAAAAGAGCAAAAACGTTAGCGTTTTCAACATGTGCCTAGGCTACCACTAAAGAGTTTAATTTGAGGGATATTTTACAAGGGCAAACTAGGAATTATGCTATTTATGGTCACAAATATTTTAAAACTTAAAATCACCTCTTAACCAAATTATGACTAAATCCTCATTACCAGAGTCAGTCTTGGGTAAAGTGAAGTAGGCGATTCTCTTCTTGTTAAGGCCCAGGTCCCACCTGACCGTGATGTTATCTTGAGTCTGAGCACATGAAAAATAAGAGCCCTGTTAGCCTGTGACACAGACATGGCCTGGACTCCTGTGACTGGGTATCCACAGGCATGTGCCCTACCGCAACTCCATGAGCCATGATGCTGGTGCATCAAGCAGCATCCAACAGCCTGAAACACCAACAAGGGCACCCCTGGGAGAGAAGTCATTAGGACCTAAGAACCCGCAGAAGACAACCAGGATCCCCCATTCGACGACTGCTTTCGAGAGGTCCTCAGAAGAGAAAGAAGCCAGCAGTTGAGGACACGGTCCAGGAGCCCCACGGCTCTTACTTCCTAGACATGCTCTTCATGGGACTAGCACAGAGTGCCTTCTGCAGACCTCGACTCCTTGGATCTGACGCTCGTAGCAATGGGCAAAGACTGCGAATCCAACTGTGAGGGATTTTTAAAATCAGGCTAGTGTCTAGCTCTGAGTGACAGAGCATCTGCCTTTGATCCATGGCCCTGGGCTGAGGCCCACGATAGTGTTAGCAACCTGCAAGTAAAACCATCCTAACAGTCTCAGGAGAGATGTGTTAAAACAACCATCCCTCCTGCACACACCACATCACCTGTGACTCTTTCAGTTTCTTGTCATAGTCAGCCTCCAGCTTGACCAGAGGCCCAAATATGTTCTGGTACTGGTAGGCATCTTCATACCGCAGGAGGACATGCTGCGGCTCCTCATCCACTCCGGGCTTCTCTAGGTCCTCCAAGGTGGCAGAAGGATTCTCCTAGAAGACAAGACCCGCACCGAGTTTGTCCCCAATTCCACCTGTGTATGAATTAACTACATGCGAGCTCACCAGTCACCAGAGGGATGGGAAACACCCATCACTCCTCAGGACAAGTCAAGGTTGGGCTGATGCTGAGAAGGGTGTCAAGCAGTCAGTGGTGCCAACCCTGTGGGAGAGCCCTCATATCAGGAAGTTCACGTGGCATAGGGAGTTGGATGCCTGTTGTTCCTAACATTCCCCTACAAGGTTACACCATTAGGGGTAAGTCTTGGTGATGATACTCCAGGAACACAACTAACATACCTACACCATCAATTGGCTGTGTCCTCCACAATCATCTGGCCCTGAACTGGGAGGGACAGCACTTCTTCCAGGCTGCCAGAAAGACCTCCAGCTCCTCTGGCTGTGTGAGCAGAAGAGGAGCCTTAACCTCCCCATTTCCTCCTGATCCTACATTGCACCAAAAGGGCTACACACTCTTCCCTGGCAGGGACAGAACAATATCTGGGCTGCTGAAATATAAACAGGAACAGTGAAAATTGTGGTAACTTGAAAATGGAAGTGAAAAGACACCTTGCTAGACAAGGTCTGAAAAATAATATTTTAAAAGTATGTCTTTATTGATTTGAGAGAGAGAAGGAGAGAGAGAAAGGGAAGGAGGACTTAAGGGAGGGAGGAAAGAAGTGGAAGGGAGGGAAATAGGAGAAACAGAGAGAGAGAGAGAGAGAGAGAGAGAGAGAGAGAGAGAGAGAGAGAGAGAGAGAACATCAATCAACTGCCACCTGCACGTCCTCTACTGGGGATTGAGCCCCAAGCCAGGCATGTGCCCTGACTAGGAATTGAATCAGTGACTCCTTGGTGCATGAGATGATACTCAACCAACTGAGCCACCCTGGCCAGGGCCTGAAAAATATTTTAACTTGCACTCAAAGTAAAGATAAATTTACATTTGAGAGGTGCCTAATTAAAATTTCTATACTTGTTATTAAAACTTTATAGCAAAATCTAAACAGAAAATCAGAGAAGGACTTCCCTAGAGAAATGGCTATGCAGGCAGGGCAGGTGCCCCACCCTGAAACCTAAGGAAGGCCCCTCTCTCCTTCAGTTACTGAGCTGAGAGTCTCTGACTTTTGGGACTGTGACCTCTTTCTCACTGCACACTCACCACAGTTTGGTATTTTCCTGGCTCAGATACATCAAAGGCAAGCAAAATTTTGAAATGCACCCACAGGGGAGAGAACTTAGACTGAGCATAGGTAAACACACCTATATTTGCTGCCTCCCACAACCACATCAAAATTACATTTAAAATACAGAACAACCATCATTCAAAACTGCCTGAAAGAAGTCCTACAACTAGAGAAGTAAAGTAGAAAGCACATTGAGACCGGTAGGAGGGCAGAGGTCAAGAACAGGTTGTTCTAACACTCATGTGTGCCTTTTTTAATCAGGAGGGAGATCATCTCCAAGGAGGCCGCCTGTGAGGAACAAGGGGTCCCCACCCTACCAGCCCAGGGTTCTAGAGCAGGGAAGAAAAGTCCCCATAACTACGGGCTGTAAACATCAGTAGGGGTTGTGGCTGAATGACACAGAGGCTGCTGGAGATCCAGGTGTTCCATTTAAAGAGCCAGAACACGAACTTACTCAGACTCTTAGCACCAGATGGCTTTGGGGGACCCAGACACATATGGGGAGGAACTGGATTGTCTGGCATCAGGGCAGAACTCAGGGGTAGCGTTCTCCCAGACAGGGGTATCACAAGGGTCATTGTTCCCGTGCTGGGGCCTCTCATATTGCAAAGCTGGCTGGCAGCCATATTTGAGTCTCCATCGACCTGGAACATACAGTTTGTTCTACTCTGGGGATTCCTTGAGATCCGGTCCCATCCAATTTGCAGCCTCACCCAAGCTGTTTGCAACAGCTTTTCCATATGAATGGCCTGTCCTGGTTCAGGCTTCAGACTTTGCTAAAGATCTGCAAACAAGCTGCAGCTGGAGACAGTGTGCCCCAAATCTATCAACAAAAGGCATTAGCATCAGTCTACCTTGCTTCACAGATGGGCCTTCCCTGGGCACCTCCAAGTCCAGTACAAATAGCAAATAGCAGCTGCCTACAGAATCCTCTATAGCTCCTGCTCCAGGCAGTGACTGACTGCACTTCCCTGGAGGCCCTGGAGCCAGTGCACCCAGTGGAAGGTTTAAGACCATTACAGATTACAACTCTACTCATCCACAAGAGGCAGACTCAGTGAACACCAAAGCCCCCACTAAAGCAAGACCTGCACCATACAGGTGTTTCATGCACAGCAGCTTTCTCACTGTAGTTGCAGCTGGTCCTTACAGCCAACTGGCATGGAGGTCAACTCCTCCAAGTGACATCAACAGCATTCAAGGCTCAACTACAAGACTGTGCACACAGCCCACACAGGGGTACACCTGGAGTGCCCAGCTCAGATGACTGGGGAGGCTGAGCCACCGGGCCCTAAAGGACATCTACTACGTAAGGCTATTTTTATTCTGCCAATTCCAGGAGACACAGCAGCTCTACCTAATACACAGAAACAAACATAGGGAAGCAGCCAAAATGTGATGACAAAGAAACATGTCAAATCAAAGAAATAGAAGCAAACTACTAAATACAGAGTTCAAAACCATGGTTACTCAGGATCTTCATGAGACTTTCAAGGATCTTAGTGCAAACATCAAAGACATGAAAAAGGACCAGTTAGAAATTAACATGTTAAGTGCCAAGCCTGTTTTGTCTTCCTTTCTGTTTAGCCCGAGACATCTGATTTTACCGATATGCTGGTGGCACCAGTGACTGGTCTGGACAAAAAGTATGATGTCACTTATATGGCGCTTAACATGTTAAGTATATACTAACTGAAATAAAGAATAATTTATAGGGATTCAACAGTAGATTAGAAGATTTCAAGAATCAAATCAACAATTTGGAATATGAGGAAGTAAAAAACACCCAAGCTACCATAGCCAGTTTGGCTCAGTGGATAGAGAGCATTGGCCAGCAGACTGAAAGGTCCTGGTTTTATTCTGGTCAAGAGCACATACCCAGATTGTAGACTCAATCACCAATAGGGGGCATGCAGGAGGCAGCCAATCAATGACTCATCATTGATGTTTCTCTCTCCCTTCCTCCTTAAAATCAATAAAAATATATTAAAAACAAACAAACAACAATAATAAAAAACATTCAAGAGCAAGACCAAAAGGAATAAAAAAAAATATGAAGATAGTGTAAGGAGCTTTAGGGACAACTTCAAGCATATCAACATTCACATTATGGGGGTGCCAGAAGAGGAGGAGAGCGAGCAAGATATTGAAAACCTATTTGAAAAATGACAGAAAACATCCCTTACCTGGTAAAAGAAATAAGACTTACAAATCCAGGAAGTACAGAAAGTCCCAAACAAGAGGAACCCAAAGAGGCCCATATTAAGACATCATTATTAAAATGCCAAGGGTCAAAGACAAAGAGATAATCTTAAAAGCAGAAAGAGAAAAACAGTTAGTTACCTATAAGGGAGCACCCATATGACTGTCAGCTGATTTCTCAACAGACTTCGCAGGCCAAAAGGGAGTGGCAAGAAATATTCAAAGTGATGAATAGTAAGGATCTACAACCAAGATTACTCTACCCAGCAAAGCTCTCATTTAGAATTAAAGATCAGATAAAGAGCTTCACAAACAAGAAAAAGCTAAAGGAGTTCAACACCACCAAACCAGTATTACATGAAATGTTGAAGAGTATTATTCAAAAAGAGGAAGAGATTAAAAAAAAAATATGAACAATAAAATGGCAACAAATACATATCAACAATTGAACTTAAAAATAAAAATAAATGAACAAGAAATCTAATGAACTAAATAAACTGGTGAATAAAATAGAATGAGAGATATGGAGGCATGGAATAGACTGACAAATCTCAGAGGGAAGGGGACGAGAAGAGATTAACCAAAGATCTTACCTATGGACACAGACAGTAGGGTGGTGAAGACCTGGGGAGGGATAAAACTAGGTGGAGGGGAGCAATGAGGAGGAAATGGGGACACCTAGAATACTCTCAACAAAAAGATTTTGAGCTGAAACCGGTTTGGCTCAATGGATAGAGCGTCGTCGGCTTGGGGACTGAAGGGACCTGGGTTAGATTCCAGACAAGGGCATGTACCTTGGTTGTGGGCACATCCCCAGTAAGGGGTGTGCAGGAGGCAGCTGATCGATGACTCTCTCATCGATGTTTCTAGCTCTCTATCTCTCTCCCTTCCTCTCTGTACAAAATCAATAAAATATATATTTTTAAAAAGATTTTGAAAACAAACAATGGAAACAAACAAAAAATATAATGCACGCACAGTCCCATCTACTAAGGCCCAGGCTCCTCTGGACATGTCCACCCATAGCTGCCCAGGGCCAGTTCCTGTCAGGACTCCTCCTAGTAGAAGCTCCAGAATCCTTCCAGAATGTCCTATTTATGAAGACAGCATCCTTGCCCTGCCTCACATCTACAGGAAACTAGTACTGAGGAAAACTGCATTCTCAATAGGCCTCACCTTCCAAAGCTCCTCCAACTTGTTGATCTGCTGGGCGGTAATCTGCCGGGCCCGAAGCTGCTCCTGCTCGGAAGGGATCTTGACCAGCCAGGAGAGGAAGCAGCGATCCTGGATTAGGGGCTGCCACTGCGAGCTGTCCCAGTTGATGTCCTTGAGGCTGCTCTGACTGGCACAGGGCTGCCTATAAGAGCCCCAAGGAAAGAAGAGCCCGGGTGAAAATGACCTCCACCCCAAGACTTACCTTTCACCCCAAGGTGGCAGTCCCTATCTTTCATTATGTGATCACATTACCTTTAAATTGTTAGTAATAAATTGCATCTCCCCACACACTTGAGCTCTGAACTCTTAAAACTCAAAACAGACTTTGGTTTTATAGAATCATTTTTATGATTTAACCAGAACACACCCGCAGAGTTACTTGACAGTCCTAGCTCTCCAACAAGCCCCAACCCCCGAACATCCCAACATCTAGCCAGTCAACAGAAACCATTTTAAAGTTCCACCGAGTCAGAGCTGGCCCCCAGGGAAATCGGGGAGCCCTCACCTGCACAACAGCACCACCACTGAATCAGCCTTGGCAGGGATGAAGCCAAGCAGGAAAACGTTGCGGCAGCCACAGTTGTAACACTCCAGGACTGTCTCACCAAGGGGCCCATCCTTGTGCAGAGTCACCTCTTTGCATTTTGCCCTCACAAGGTGATTTACAATGTGGCTTAAATCAGGAAATGATAAATAGTTAACACTCACAAGTTTGGCTTTTCACCACTTCCAATTCTTGAGCCCCTGTTAAAAGTTCCGGTACCATTCACGGTCCATTAGCAGGGTTGGTCACACCTCATCCATCTGGTGTCCCAGGAGACCAGCCGCCCCTGAACTGGCTCCCCATTGAGCACAAATCCGCCTTGAACCACTTTTAAGGAAAACTTTCCTAACACATTTCATAGTTTCTGCCTCTTACTCCCACCACCTCCAGTTCCTGCTTCCTTAAGTCCAACTATTGGGCCTCACTGAATCGACAGCTGCTGCCCCTTTCCCAACTCCTCTTGCTCCTTGTAACTTCTCTGATGCTTCTTTCAAAGTCACTTCTCTGGCACAGGGCTGCCTATCGAAGCCCTGAGGAAGTGACCTCGGTGCTCGCTGCCAGGAGCAACGACTCCTAATATGCTGCAGGCCAGGAAACTTGATAAGCAAGCATATTAAAACCTGAGGACAATAAAAAATATCAAATAGGGGGCTCAGGGCTACTCTCAGGAAGCACAAGGGCCAGCAATGAAATCCTCAGGAACGCTGCTGTCTCAGTGTGTCCAGGACTGCCAATGTTCTCATTTCCAAGCTACAACTCATCTAATTCATGGACGGAGCCACTGGGGCTGATAGATGGTACAGGCCCTACCTCGGGCTTTCTGTAGGTTTATGGAACACTACTTGTGGCAGCCCTCTCTTCACAGCAGTAAACCCTTCCTGTCACGAGGTTAGGCTAAAACCCTCTCTGGCCCCACAGTCTGTCATCAGATAATCAAACCAACCATCACCTCTTAGCACCCCCCAAAATCCTCTACTCCTCTCTGGAGCCACTGCCACTGGGCATGTTACAAGAACCAGTGGTTTCCCCTTAATCCATCTGTATCCACTTCATCCCCCTACAGTGGCAACAGGACCGTCAGCTTTCACTCAAGCCTTGTAAAGAGCATGTGATGCTGGTTGACTGAGCCTGTTTTTTCATGGAGGCCCTTCCCTCACTTCTCTGATCTTAACTGCTGTCCTGAAGCTAGGGTTGCCAACTAAGACAAATTTTATTTAATTGTTTTCCCTGCAGGAGAGGAAATAACGCAAACATGGTAACACAAATTGTCCAGAACATTCTGAAAATAGGACTAGAATCTCGTTTGGTCACCTTGGAGATGCTTTTCCTTTTAAGTGTTTGAAAAACATAAGCCCCCTTTTTTGCCTTGCTCAGAACCCCACAATTTGCATACTAACTGTGAGATGACCAAAGACCCAATCACTCTGTGTCCTTAGGCAGCATGATGTTAAGGCCTGGCCCACGGCTGCTGAAGGTACAGGAAGGGTGGATGGGGCTCTGTGCACATAAACCTGCCTGTAGATTTTTGTCACTTTACTTCTCTAAAACATGAACCTCAGAAGATGCTGCTTCCTTGCTGGAACCCTGGAGCCCTGGCCCACTGAGACTCTGCTCTGCAGTGAACCCGAGGTAGGGGCCAAGGAGTCCAGCACTTGAGCTAGACAGACAGACTGACTTTCCCCACCACACTGCTCTCACCCCAATACCAAACACAAGCCCGGGCTCAGTCACAAATGCTGGTGATCAGGAGGGAGCCCAGAGCCACCACTGGTCAGATGACCTTGATTTAATCCTGATGATTCAGGATCTGGCCCGTGTTAGCCTCTAACCTACTCAATGAGCTCAGGCCTGAGGGAGCCTTCTCAGGAAGTGGCTCTCATGGATGCCCGTTACTATCTTGGGAACATCCTCCCCAGGCACCCCATAATGAAGATGAACAGGAATGCAAGGAGCTCATCTTGCAGAAAAATATAAATAAAAACTAGGAATGAGAAATTAAGCCAACCATACTGGCATAATAAAAAGAATGAGAGAATAAATCAAGGGTAAATACATTAAGGCATTCACACAGCACCATCTGTTTCAAGTTAAACCCGTCACAGAGAAGGAAAAAACCCAGGTTTGTTAGCATGATTTTATATTGTGCTTCGCTTTAACATTTCCATAATTTACACACAAATCTGAGCACAGTCTGATTAAAGACACATGGCAGTCTGATACCTACCTGCCAGAAGTATTTCCACGTCCATTACAGAACCACTTCTTGCTGGTATTACAGTAAACCACGCAAGCAGGATCATGTATTCCGCAGTAACTAAAAAGTAAAAATGAACAGTTAAAGCTGGAAGATCTCTCTCTGGTTTTAATTTGGCAGAATGTAAAATTTTTTCCTCTTACAACATTTTAAAGTTTTTCATTAAAAACATACTCAATCCCAACAATCCTACTAACAAAATCCAATCAGTTAACTGTTGGTTTCCTGTTCCTGTGAATGCAGAAAGGAGTTGGGGTGCTGTCGAGACGCTCAGAGGTACAGCAGACTGCGGCAAAACCCCTTCCAAGTGGGGAGCAGGGGCTGTGCGAAGTCCAAGTGAGCCCAAAACCCCAAAGGCAACCTGGTCACCCCTATGGCCCTCAGTTTCAGGAATGTAACTTATGAAAGGGATGTCCATAGGTAGCTCTGGGCGCTGGGAAAGTGAGCTGTGACTATGCTTTGCTCACTCCAGCAGAGGGCACCATGCTCCCAGGAACGCTCCACTCAGACCCAGCAGCAGAGGCTCCTGGGGGACAGAGCTCAGCTCCACAGAGCACATCAGGAGAGTCCACCACCAAAATACCCCCCAACTTGTTTTTCTGAAAGTCAACAAACCCAAAACAAAACTACTGGCTCTCCAAGAGTCTGTATGTGTATGAAGCCAAGACTCAGGCTCAAACTAGAGTGTGCTCAACCAAGAACCTTTCCCCCAAACCCTCCACACATGGACAGAGGGAGGGCCCAGGGGTTGTATAGACTTTAACCACTTGCAGCTTCACTAGGACTGGCAACTGTGTATATACAGGAACACTAATACATCACTCATATACATGCAAAAACATTTATAAATGAGCCCTGGCTGGTGTTTCTCAGTGGTTAGAGCTTCAGCCCATGCACTAAAGGATCACAGGTTTGATTCCCAGCCAAGGGCATATACCTGGATTGTAGTTCAATCCCAGACCCTGGTCAAAGTGGGAGGCAACTAAGTGATGTTTTTCTCTCACATAGATGTTTCCCTCCCCCTCCCCACTCCTACTCTCTCTAAAAAAATCAATGGAAAATATCCTCCAATGAGGACTAACAAACATAAAAACAAACATTTGTAATAAGAGTGAAGAGCCAAAATAAGGTAAACTGGGGGAAGTAGGGGTGGGAGGATGCAGCGCTCTGTCCCTTGGTGGGTAGACACTGGGGGCAGTGTGCCCAAAGGGCAGGCAGGCCCCAGACTCAAAGCTGCCCCAACTGGCTGAGTGCCCTAAGCAAGATCATTTCACCTCTTTTGGTCTCAATTTCCTCTTGTGCGTGTAACAAAAAAGCAAGAATAAGTCTAAATGTAAGGGATGAGAATTCCAAATTTGGTCAATATGCAGGTCTCCCACTGACTGTCCACTTCCAAGTTTTTAGGAAGCAGCCATTTTAAAGAATCCAACAGTAATCTCTCTGTAAGAGAAATCTTAGTGGCTCTATTTACCCCATAAGCCCATGCTCACCCAATGAGAAGAGTTCTTCTTGATGAGTGAGACGGGTACTAGGAACACCCCCAGGACCTGAGGAAGGCCAAGAGGGGAACCTTTCCCTTCCTGCTGGAATAACCAGGGGTAACAGAGGGTACTGAGTCCACCCTCCTGCCTGGTAACATGTACACAGGCCTAGCAACCTCTTTATTCCCAAGGACATGTGACCAACAGCGGTCTCTGGGATGCCTCTGCTGTTGATGCTCACCTGCAGGCATGTACTGGTAGGTCCTTTGTGTAATAGGTATCTTCTTCATCTTCTTCGAAGTTCAACTCGGCCAGCAACTGGCTGGTCTTGGCCACACTGTCATCCACAGCCCCATTCTGCAGGATGCCCTCAGGTCCTCCAACCTACCACAGAACAGCAGCATCACCATGCAAGCCTACAGCCTTCAGGCATTGGGCATATTGCTTCTCCCCAAGTGAGTAGCCATGGCAACCCTCCTATGAAGCACTGGCCTGCTCTCCACTTTGAGACAGTTCAGTATCTTCTGCTTTGACATTTCACACTCTCCCCTTCCCTATCAAACCTGCTCAGACCTACCCTAGCCAGTATGGCTCAGTGGCTAGAGCACCAGCTTGTGAACTAAAAGGGCCCTGGTCCAATTCCGATCAAAGACACGTACCTTGGTTGCAAGCTCCGTCCTGGCCGGGACCCTGGTCAGGGCTCATGCAGAAGGCAACTGATTGATGTATTCTCTCACATCAGTTTTTTTATCTTTCCCTTTCTCTAAAATTCAATGGAGCCCTAGCTCAGTGGTCGGCAAACTCATTAGTCAACAGAGCCAAATATCAACAGTACAATGATTGACATTTCTTTTGAGAACCAATTTTTTAAAACTTAAACTTCTTCTAACACCACTACTTCAAAACAGACTCGCCCAGGCCATGGTATTTTGTGGAAGAGCCACACACACTCAAGGGGCCAAAGAGCCACATGTGGCTCATGAGCTTCAGTTTACAGACCACTGCCCTAGATGGTTTGGCTCAGCAGATAGTGTCAGCCTGAAGAGTCCCATGTTTGATTCTGGTCAAGGGCATGTACCTTGATTGTAGGCTTGATCCCCAGTAGGGGACATGCAGGACTCAGCCAATCAATGGTTCTCTCTCATCATTAATGTTTCTCTCTTTCCCTCTCCCTTCCTCTCTAAAATCAATAAAGAAATGTTTTTATGCCGAAACCGGTTTGGCTCAGCGGTAGAGCGTCGGTCTGCGGACTGAAGGCTCCCAGGTTCGATTCCGGTCAAGGGCATGTACATTGGTTGCGGGCACATCCCCGGTAGGGGGTGTGCAGGAGGCAGCTGGTTGATGTTTCTCTCTCATCCACGTTTCTAGCTCTCTATCTCTCTCCCTTCCTCTCTGTAAAAAATCAATAAAATATATTTTAAAAAATAAAATAAAAATGAAATGTTTTTAAAAGAGGAATGATATGTTTTTTAAAAACCAATGGAAAAATATCTTCAGCTGAGGATTACAAAAAACAAAATAAAAAAACCTATTCAAACTGAAACAGGGCAGACTCAACCCCATGGAGCCACAGTGACAACCAGGATGTAGAGGGAAATGCCTTGTTTCCATCACTGAGGGCCACAGAAGCAAGAGGACTTCCTATAAGCCAATTATGGTCTCCTCTGGGGACAGCTGCACAATGTCAGGCCAGAGGACCTGGAATCCCATACAGTGACAGGTCCTCCCAAAGCCTAAGCCCCTGAGTCTAGATTGTGAGCCCTGGAAAGCAGTTATCTCCTTAGTAGACAGACTACCTCCATCCTAGTACCCTCTCAAGGACGGCAGTCCTTCTTGATTACAAATTAGAAATTGAATTCAGTCAATAATCTTACTAAATATATTACCTTTTATGTTATAACAACAAAAACACACAAACCGACAACTTTAAGTAACTAAGCCATAAATTTCACAGGCACTACCGACGAGCTCACAAGTCCATTCAGGGGTGCACAGACTCAGCTCCCGCAAGGAAACAGGAATCCTAGCATCATCCCTATAGGAACCTCAGGTAGCAGTCTGGTCATCCCCTCCCAGGGGCCACAGCCCACACAGGCTAGATCAGGCAACAGGAGCTTCCAAGGAGTGGTGAGGAAGCCTAGAGAGGGATGACAGGAGCCCCAGGGGAAACATCAGCTCTATTCCCTTGCAGAACCCTGCTACCTAAAGCCAGGGGACCAAAAACCAGAGCCAGCACAGCCTGCGCCAGCAGTGCCACCCTCTGTCTGAATCACCTGTACAAGTCTGAGGACAGCTATTCTCACGAGAAGGGCGTTACATTTGGGGAAGTCAGCATCCTGTTATAAGAATACCTATGTCTGCAATCGACTCAGCCAAGATCAGAACCCTATTTCCGTGTCAGCCACCACATTAATATGCTTTTTTCAGGATGGCAGCAACCAGGTTAATTACATAAGATTAGAGGCCCAGTGCACAAATTTGTGCACCGGTGGGGTCCCTTGGGGTGATCTGTGGCAACACTGGTGTGAGGCTGCCAAGAGGACTGGCACTGCTGGCTCACAATGTCCCTTGATATGAATGTACTAGACACATTCATGTTGTTTTTCTGAAAGTGTGTGGCCAGCTCATGGCACCTAGATTTCAGTTCATAGCAAGGAGGGGCGCGCGCGCGTGGCAGCATATACACTGAGTGGCCACACTATTATGATCTCTGAACGCATAATAATCTGGCCACTCAGTGTATAACCTATATAATAAAAGGCTAATATGCAAATTGTCCCCTCAACTAGTTCAACCAGCAGGTAGGACAGCCAACTGCCTATGTCCCCTCCCCCTGGCCAGGTTGGCCGGACCCCACCCATGCACAAATGAATGCACCGGGCCTCTAATACACACACACACACACACACACACACACACACACACACACACGCCAGATTATTATGCATTCAGAGATTGTAATAATATGGCCACTCAGTGTATATCATGCTGCAGGAAGGAGCTGAGAAGTAGTCTAGACAGGATCAGCCTGCAGGCCACCCTCTTAAGCTCCGAACAGTATTTATATTTTTAAATGATTGAACTGAATACCCAATAATAGTTTCAATTTTATTTCTTGTCCCACAAAGTCTAGTGTATTTACTATATAGCCCGTCAAGAAATTGTTTACTGCCGAGACAGGTTTGGCTCAATGGATAGAGCGTCGGCTTGGGGACTGAAGGGTCCCAGGTTCAATTCCGGTCAAGGGCATGTACCTTGGTTGCGGGCATATCCCCAGTGGGAGGTGTGCAAGAGGCAGCTGATCAATGACTCTCTCTCATCGATGTTTCTAACTCCCTATCTTTCTCCCTTCCTCTCTGTACAAAATCAATAAAAATATATTTTAAAAAAAATTGTTTACTGACTCCTAGTCTAGAAGAACTCCTAAGATCTCTTATCAGGTAGTACAAACTTTAACATACTATAAAAAAAATAGCCCAGGTGGCGTGGCTCAGTGGTTGAGCATCAAAGTGTGAACCGGGAGGTCACAGTTCCATTCCCAATTAGGGCACAGGCCCTGGCTACAGGCTCAATCCCCAGTATGGGGCATGCAAGCGACAGCTAATCAATGACTCTCATCATTGATGTTTCTCTCTCTTCCTTCTCCATTCCTCTCTGAAATCAACACACACACACACACACACACACACACACACACAACAAACATTCTTGGTGGTATCTGAATCTTTTCCTGAAACATCAAAATTACTAGTAGTATGTGAAATAAAAGGGAAAGTGCCCACCATCTGGGTGGCCCTCATCCTGCCCACTCCTGCCTCACATTTCACCTCCCCTGCTAGGGAGAGGGATAAGGCACCTCAGGAGCATGTGAGGCTTGTAAGGGAGCCTGACCAGCCAAGCCTGACTAGCCACGTGGCAACCCTCTCTCTAAACCCCCTGATCTCTTCAGGCTTAATAAGGGGCAGAAATCTAAGTCCACTTTTGGAACTCCAGGAAGACAACAGAATATGGATCCAAGTTAGGGGTACTATCCTCGCCCCCCACTAAAGCCAAGAAGTAGTACAGATTCCCCAAGGCCCCAGGGCCCTGAAGCTGCTTGGCTGGGGAGTGTGGTATGGCACTCCTCACTCACATGCCTGAGTGCAAACACTCCTAGCTCCCATAGCCCCACTCCTGCCCAGCTGTGAACTGGCAACAACACAATAAACAAAATTGAAACTATTATTAGGTATTTAGTCCAACTGACCTCTATAGCTGGGTTGTTAGTTTCTCCCTCTACTGCCTGTAAAGTTTTAATATAACATTTAACTTCAAAAATACATATGACCTTGCCCTGGCTAGCATGGCTTGATGGTTGGAGCATTAGGCTGCGCACTGAGGGTCTTGGGTTTGATTCCCAGTCAAGGGCACATACCATGGGTTGCAGGTTTGATCCCTACTCCCAATTGGGAAAAGTGTGAAGCAACCCATTGATGTAGCTTTCTCACATTGATGTTTCTCTCTGCTCCCTCCTTTCTATCTTCCCTTCCCTCCCTTCCTTGCACTCTTTAAAAAAAGAAAAAAAATAAGTCAGCCCAGCCAATGTGGTTCAGTGGTTGAGCATAGACCTATGAACCAGGAGGTCAGGACTCGATTCTGGTCAGGGCACATACCCTGGTTGTGGGCACGGGTTGTGGGCTCGGTCCCCAGTAGAGGGTGTGCAGGAGGCAGCCGATCAATCACTGATGTTTCTATCTCTCTCTCATCACTGATATTTCTATCCCTCACCCTTCCTCTCTCTGAAATCAATAAAACATATATTTTTAAAAATCAATAGAAAAATATCCTCATTCCTCAGGTAAGGAATAAAAAATAATTTGCTCTGGCTGATTTTGCTCAGTGGAGTGTCGTCCTATGGACTAAAGGGTCCCAGGTTCAATTCCAGTCAGAGGCATATGCCCTGGTTGTGGGCTTGATCGCCAGTGTCAAGGGCATGCAAAAGGCAGCCAATCAATGATTCTCTCTCATCACTGATGTTTCTTATCTCTCTCCCTCTCCCTTCCTCTCTGAAATCAATAAAAGTGTATTTAAAAATAATAAAACAAAATCCTCACAACTTCATTAAAAAACAAAACAAAATAAAAGCATTGAGGTTTTAAAAAGCTTTGATCTCAGGAACTGTAATTAAATAAGTTAAAGCACTAGAAAGTAGCTGGCACGGAGAAGGCCCACATCCCATGTCAGGTGATACAATGGGAGGAGTGCAGGGTGTCCTCGTCCTTAGCTGGCATAGGACTGAGGTCCTCCAAGGTCACTAAGCCCTCACTTCCAGTCAGAACCTCTGGATCCTGCTGGGCTCAAAAGGAGCAGGGCCTCCCTGCACCCATGGGCACCCTAAGCCTACC